TGATGCAAGTGACGAGGTCAAGGACTCACAAATATCTAATGCTACTGGTGAGATTGGGGGGACACAAATTCCTGATGGTACTGGTGAGGTCAACGGCTTGCAAACTTGTGATAAAACTGCCGAGGTCAATGACTCACAAATATGTGATACAACCGTCGAACTCAGTGACCCACAGCTTGCTGGTGAGACTGATACTTATACTGCCAAGATGGTAGAAGAGGTTGTTCCACAGTCATCTCTTGGAACTGTTGAGGATGTTGCAAAGCAGGGTGATAACAGCATCATGACCTAAAATGAAAGGCATTATCATGCCCTTTAAAAAGTTTCACAACTAATCAAATGCGTTCACATTGCCTGCTAAGGTTGATTATTAGAAATCCGATCATTATAACAGAAGACTAACATCATCAGTCTTTATAAACGCGGTAGTGGCAATCGAAGAAGATTCTTGAAAAAGAATCTGCGTTTGCCGTTTGAAGGTTTCAAGGCTGGTCTATTTTTGTAAAATCTTGTCTAGCTTATTGATATAGCTTGCCCTAGTTTAGAGGCAACTGAAAGTAGATTATTTATGTGTTCTACTCTAGAGATATTTAGAAGGGAACGAGTAATTCTTCAATTACTGCCATGTTAATGTTCGTCTTATAGAATTGTGTATACACATATTTTGTGGTGTTAATTGAAAGTTGTGTTAGCATTAGGACATGCAGGAAGTAGATTGGATATCATAATTCTGTTCATGTATTTTTCTTCTGTAGACTCTGATATTCTTCTAAGCCTGCATCGAGCAGATGATTCAATATGGCTGTCTCTGTCTGTCTCACATTCAACTTTCTGGATTGTTAAAGAGTATTTTTTTGATGTATATCTACAAAAAGGGGTAAACAAAGGTATTTGAGATTGAGGGCATTTTAGTATTTTACTTGACTGTTTTAATTTAATACATGAAGTGATACATTTGGTGGAATGAGATAAGGATTTGAGACAGCAAATCGACGTCTTTTAGGGTTAGCATAAATTAATTAATGAAAGACCTTTCTAAAGATGTTGAAATTATATTAATCATATATGGTATAAATCCCATTTACTCTGAAGGTAAGTAATGTGGATTGAATGGTCATTAATGCCACCAGAAGCTTGTCTCGGATACTTCCGGTAGCTCATGTAATGGTTTTATTATGATGAGCGCTGCTAGGCATAAGTTCAGATTTTTTATGCACAAATTTTAAGGAAGCAGATTTTTCTTTATAAATGCAGAAATTTTACTCAACTTGAAAGAGCAATTGATTATATTGTCTTTGTGATTTTTCCCAAAACCATTCTGCCTGGTTTGAGTACATTTCAGTTTCACGCCTATTTATTCAGCTAGATTGATTTGATTTGGACCATACACCAGATGCACCTGGCTTTCTCTTTGGTTTTCTGCTTCCAAACAAAGTGATCCGACGAAAAACCCTCAGTAGCCTACTAGCATATTTTCTCTGTGAAGAAAAATTCACAGATCCAATGCAACCCGTTACTTGCCCAAGGGGGTGGTTCCTCTTCTTGCTCAATGATCGACTTTCTAGACCGGAGAATTTTGCATTCTGTGGTTTGGATGGAATTGTTTCTGCTTTCTTTGAAATGTTCTGCAATTGAAGGCTCCTCTTTAAGGACATAAGTTCTTGTTCAAGGTTTTGAATTCTGAAGCTTGTAGACTCATAATCCTTTCTTGAGAATTCACAAGTATGCATTGCAATATCTTTTGTTAGCAGGAAGCTCAAAGGTCTGCTGCCTGGCTCTGCTCCATCTGTAAATGGGCTTTCTACCTGATCTTGGGTTTTGGAGTTCGGACATCTTGTACTTGGTAAGCTCCCGGAGAAGTCTCCATAATGCATGTACCTAAACGAGTCTGAGCAATCCTTGAAAGCCTGATGTGTGTTTAGCTGTTGAACAAAAAGAGCCTGGACGATTAAACGAAGAGGCATCATATCATTTTGAACCGCTTCAATGCATGCCTCTTGTGATAGCTTTTGGCAATTGAGGTATCTGCATACAAAACCCTTCTCTTCTTGTGATATATGCTTGTGACCCTGAAGAACATCATAAAAAACAATTATGTCAAAGGTCAGTTTTAAACTGCTCTAAAACAAGAAATAGTTGACTTACACTTGAGTTTTTAGTCAAATTAATCAGATTTATTTATGATTTAACCTAAAATTGGTCAGTTTTTGACAGATGGTTGCATTTGTTTTTAGAATTGGCCCAATTTGAACTATATCTTGCAACTTTTGAGTTATGATGAAGTCTAATAACTTACCTGTAGAAAGATGTTCATTGCCCTGTAGAGTTGATCATGGCTGTGTCTCCAGGATACTGGAACTGTTTCAACAAGTTCCATGAATCTTTTAAGCCCCATTTTTGGGTCTGAAGTTATGTGGCAGAGGTATGTATCCCATAATTCTGCGACAATTGAGTTGCTTGCTGAAGGTGTATGATGTGTCTCCATGTTAAATGAGACATATGTTGAAAATATGCTCTCCATTATAGCCAACTCCTTGCTGCAAGAAATTGACTCTGTCCCAGTTTCTGGAAGGAGAAAATCCTCCACTTGGGCAAAGTGCAAAAGAAAGGCGATCTGTTCTTGCAACTTTACCCTGCTGTCACTTCTCAAATCAATTTCTAGGGATCTAGAAAGCAATGCAAAGTAGAATCCGACGGGAATCGTTCTGCTAGCCTTCTCTCCTGAAGGAAGTAAATCTAGAATACCTTGTAACATTTCTGAACCTTTGCTTTTTGTGGTGTTGTCCCCAATTTTCTCATTTGAATTCTCCCAGAATTGGCGGGTCTTCTTGGAGAGCACCCATTTGTTTGCATAGAAAACAATGATGGGATTCACAAACTTTTCTTTCATTCCCTGCCTTGTCAAGGATCCTATTACCCTTCTGAAGAATCCAAATGGAAGAGCTATGAGATCTTTGATCCACAGGTCCTGGCTCACAATTGCCTTCAAGCTTTCACAGCACCAGGCTTGACTGACCAAAGCCTCCAATGTAACAACTGGTTTCTCCCGTCTCCTTTCTGGGTCAAGAATCTCCATGCAGGCCATAAAGGCCAAGGACTCGATGCAGCGGCTTACAATTAAGAGCTCTTCAGCCCAGGGAAGTAATGTTTGGCATCTTTGAAGAACAATAAGAGTATCATCCCAACTTTGTAGAACCACTTGGTTTAAATATAGATCGAAGCGCTCACAGAGATTACCAGAGCAGTGTTCTTCTGTCATTTCAAGAAATTCTGCCGCACATCTCAGTGCTGCTACATTAAAAGGGTCAATCAATGTGGATGAACCATAGATGAATAATGCAATCATCTCAAAAGTCTCTGGCCCTCCAGGAAAATCTTGAGGTAACTCATGCTCGTTTGTTTCATTCGGTGATCTTTTCTTGAAGTATCCGCTCTTTGAGAATAATGGGTACTGCAAAGTTGCAAAGAAACAGGATTAAACTCTCGATAACTAAATAAAAGTAATTTACAAGAGTCTAAGTTCTTTCTCTCTTTGCTATAGAAATTCATCTTACCTTGTGCAGGTTGAAAGTTCTGTTGCCAACTCGAACTCGTATAGAAACAGGCAAACCAGTCTCTTGGCTCCTGAGACAAAGATTCAATAAACATTATTTAGAAAAATTCAAAGTTATGCTAAGAAACAAAAAATATACAAGCCAGAACCATGAAACAATAATCTTACCATGAAACTATCTTAATCTTCAGCAGAGCGCTGATGTTAGGTGAAGAGAAGGGACTTGAGGCCACTGATGAATTATCTTTTGAGCTAACAGCTTCCATTACGAAAGCTCATGAAAGTATTCAAAAAAGAAGAAATTACTCAGAGAGAAACACTAGAAATTAATCACAGTTGATTATGCTGCAAGTATAGACATTGCTTCTCATTTGGTTTCCCTCTTTAAACGAGAGTAAATGCTTGGAACTTATCCCAATAAGTGAAATAAAGAGAGTAATATTGGTGTATTAGAGATTCTAGAATCCAGAAAACCAAAGCAGAATGAAAGAGAGAAAAAAGAGGTAGTTTAATCAGTTTGTCTACATAACACACGTGCATCAAGTTTATATTTTCTAGTCAAAGTCAAATGCACACGAGTGTTGTACCCAAAATCCAACTTTCAAGCCTTCGAAAACGTTCCTCGAGTCCTGAGAAGTTGAATTCTTGGGCTACTACTACTACTCGGGCATTGGATTCCATAACATGAACGTCTGATGAGCTGAACTTAGTTGAACACATAAGATTGTGACACTCACATCTTGATGGTTTTTAATTATTAATTAATTACTAAATTTTCATTATGGACCAATCGTAAATTTGATCATGGGGTTGCAATGGTGTAAAAGAACATAGCGTGTGGTAGAAGAGTTGTACATAGAGAAATGGGACTTTGGGGAATGAGAAATTGAAAAATATAAATAGAAAAAAGGGAAAGTTGGAGATGAAGTGCGGATGAAGGCTGCTAACACCCAGAACGGCACGGCTTCTGAAAATTGGGGTTTGCTTTGAATGGAGAGGTTTTTGCTTGCTTTCTACCAACACACTGCAATCCCTAAATTTACTTTTAGCTTATTTTGACAAACTCCACTCTCAATTATAATATACTTGTGGAGAAGTGTACGTGTTACTGGTAAGACGAGACAAACAAAAAAAGAAGCAAATTTAGTGATACCCATTTATAATATAAAATCTAAAATAATAATATGTTTAAAGCAATAACAACATCAGATAATGCTCTTGTTCACATATACAAAATAATGACTTATGAATTTACCTATGTATTAATGTGACTGTTCTAATTTTTTACTTTGACCGATGAAAGAGTTGTATTAAGTATATGATTTCTTGTTCAAAAGGTATAACTTATGACGAAAAATTTATAGTATCTTGTCAGTCTGTCTAATTGTAACCTATTATTATATACACATGTACATACGTACACGTGAATGTATGTAAACTTTAGTAATTTTTTTTTTTTTTTTTTTGGTTACAATCGCTGGTGGGTGGGTTTTTTAATCTTCATTAATTTACACACTATGGGAATTCGCGTGTACATATGAACTACAGCTTATATGCTTACAACTCAAGCAATACATTCCTTTACAGCTGCAGAGATATGTTTATTTATTCATTTTCCAACATCAAACACTACTAATGCTTGGATTTGAAGTAAATGTAAACCCATTGAATTTCTTCCTATGATGCCTCCTCTTCACAATTGCAAAACATACGTTTAATAGCAAAGACAAGTTGAGAGGAACGAAATACCGTTTCCATAAGCAGAAAGTGATTTACATTTTAACCCAATATCATGACTGCATATCAACAACAGACAATACTACCATATCAACAACAGTAAACAGAGACAATAATACTACCAATCTACTATTGCTGCACATACTATATGCCAATGATAGAAAGTTAAGTAGGCCAGAAACATACACTTGAAACCTGCTGCCTAAACGTAGTATAGGTTTAGGAAAGAAAGCTGCTTGCTAGTTTTAGTCTTTACTCTTTAAGAATATGTTCACTTGAAAGAGTAATCAAGTAGTTGGCTTGGTCTCATCATCATCATCAATCAGCTCAGAGAAGAAGGGGTCCTTCAGTAGTTCCGAGGCTGATGGTCTGGCTCTCGGCTTCGCAATACACTTCTCTATGAATGCCTTCACTTCTGGATCTTTCACCTTGTTCAGCGCCTGGGGCTTACCTCCAGATGTCACCTTTTTGTATATCTTGGCAATGCTGTCACATTCGCTGTAAGGTATCTCCATTGTCACCATCTCAAGCAGGCACAGGCCGAAAGAGTAGATGTCCACCATCTCAGTGTAATCTTCCTCGTACAGTTCAGGTGCCATGTACTCTGGTGTCCCTATGATTGAATGCGCCACATGGCTCCTCCCCACTATTGCAGCAAGGCCCAGATCGCCAATTTTCACCTGTACAGATAAGTCATAATATTTCAGGTTCACCAAATCATAGAAGGTTAGTAAAGAGCATATCAAAAGACTTCAAATGGTCAGGATGCAAGGTTTGGTATAAGTTAGGGAGAATCAGATCCTGGAATGGGATCAAAAAACAACCCATAATGGTTAGTGGTGCAACACATTTACCATATTTCTAATACCATAGTACTGCTTCTGAGACAAAATTGCATACCAGCTTTGTTTTCCCATGTTTTGGTCAACAGTCATCCAATCATAATACCTTACTCCCGCACCCAACACTGTCAGTACATTTATATCTGGATCTGTTATTACTTATCAAATGCTATATTATACACTTCTAATCTATTAAGTGAAGCCTAAGCTACAAACCGTAGAAACAATTTCATCTAACCAATTATCTAATGACTCATGAAGTTGACTAATGGTCATACTGTTATTGTGGCCGTACAGAAATCACACTAAACTCCAGGAACACAAGAAAAACCATGGCTGTCTGAATAAGACCTATGAACTTGAAAGTAAACAAATAATCTTCAATGCTCATAAAAATAAGGATGTACTTATATTAATAGAAAGATTACCTGACCAACATTCCCATTGATGAAGATGTTACTGCAATTGAGATCGCGGTGAATAATGCATGGTTCATGTGTATGGAGATACTCCAATCCTTCAAGTAACTGCTTTGACCACTTCTTCAAGGCCTTAATTGATACATGGCGATGCTTCTTCCTGTAAGTTCTCAGGTTTCCTGATGTGCACACCTCAGTGATAAAATTCAATGTGTTATGCTCATCATCCAACCAAACACTGTAACAAACAATGATATACTTGTTCTTCAATGTTCTCAGTAACTGAACTTCTGAGTGAAGCCGATTGATGAACACTGGATCTTCACTAAAATGACTCAACCGCACCTGATTCCAGGCCACCTCTATACCTTCCTCCTGATCAAATGCCCTATAAACCTTCTTCACAGCACCAGAACCAAGAAGATCACTGTACCGCCCAAACCGACCAGTAGGATCAACCTCCACAAATGGCTCTCCATCTTTATCAGACATACTCATATCTGCAGCTGGCATCTTCAAGATGAAAAAATTAAATGCTAACAGAAAAACAAAAACTCAATACTTCAAAAGTCTTTAACACAAAATTAACATCTCAAGAAGTCCACAAAACACCGAATCTGAGCTTTGACGCAGCAAATTCACATATTTCTTATTGAAAAAAATTGAAAAATGTTAACATCTTTCATATTAAACAAAAATATCATCAATTTGACTGAATGTTTTCACAACAAAAATCAAGTGATATATTCTATTAGAATAAAAGATCTAGAAATACGAGTCAAATTATATAAAAGCTCTTATCATATTAGAGCTCAAACTATCATACTTTAGTTTTAATTCGAAGATCTTCACAGGAAGGAACGCGATTCTGGAAATAGCACAAGAAACCGCAAAAAAGGTGGATAAAATGAAGCGTGTTTTGATTTTCAAAACATCAGCACAACTAAGTGTGTGTTTTGAAGAAGCGTTGTCGTGTTAATTTTATGTTACTAAAGCTAAATTGCTTTTTGAGATCCAAAAAATCACGTAAATACAATTGTGGAAAAGCACTTCATAGATGTTTATAAAAAAGCACTTTCGAAGGCATTGTAAGTCGAATCAACTCGAATCACACCACAAGATAGCTTGTGATGATCAGAGACAATTGCACATCATTAACATTTACGGAATAAATTCTCAATCAAACAAATTAAAAGCAATTTAAATTCCGAGAATATACAACAATTGAAGAAAAAATTAGCATAAAGGAATCAGCATAAACTATTTCAACTATCGAATTCATCTACCAAATGAGTAATCCGTAGCGTAGCCAAAGTTAATTTCTTATTCAACTTGATATAGTTCGAAGAAGTACCTTAAAATTGCGAAACCACGAAACGAAAGGGAGCGTTTTACTCCTTGTTGTTCGTAAGAGGTTTTGGAGTTGAAATTGAGTTTGTTTGGATAATTCAGAGCGAAAAGTCTGTTTTGAGAAGAAATGAACACGAGAGGAGTAGACGGGGGTATTTATAGGTGCCGCGAAATGAGATTCTGTTTGTTAAAACGGTACCGTTGTTATCGGCTATGAATTCAGCACGTGGATCATATGAGAATACAATACAGCGTGACATTAGCCGCGTCAAATCCTCCATTATGATTGGAAGCATGTGTAGTGTGTACGACTGCGCCTGCTCGCCAATCAGTAGCTTTCAGGTAGCTGATTTTTTTTTTTGGCCTTTCTTCTTTAAGGGTGATGTCATAATTAATTTTAATTAAATATAATCAGATAGTTTTTGTATTACTAAAATAATAAACCATATGTGTTTTTATTTGTTCTTGAAATTGTAGCCTCCATAAAGGACGATTTGTAAACAGTAGAATGTAAGGTAAAAGAATAGTATTAATATAAACAAATTATAGTGAAATTATTTCCAAAAACATATTTTCATTATGCAGTATCGATAGTATATAATACAATGCACTTAGAATAAAATTCTGGAATGCCGCTAAACATGAAAATCTGGGCAGTTAAAGTAGAGATCTGATCAGTACGATGCCCGTGTGATTGTTAAATTGAAGGCACACTCGTGATATAAAGTGTCTCCAAACAAGGAACCAAGCTTTTACAGTACAGAAAACTCTTGGGATACCCGTGCCTGACTCAGAGTTGGGATCACTTAGAAATGTAATGTCTTCACGGATGAAGATGCATCAGATGATCAGAACCTGGCTAAGATTGTCAATGTGTGCCTGGCAAGATACATTACCTCTAGCCTTTACCTGAGAAGTTAGAAGGAAAGACTAAATAAGAGTAAAAGTGCAAAACCAAAGAGAAATAAAGAAAGAAAAGGGGAATATTTATACCAAAAACTTTTCGCATGATTTCCTTCACTTGAGGGTTCAGAAAAGTCTTGAGTTCAGTCTAGCTAGATTTCAGAGATGTAAAAAGGTCTCAAAAGTGATGGGCAAAGGTTTCTGTTGCCATGAATCAAAGTGAGAGCCAGAATATCCTACCTGTGACTACAACCTGACTAGAATACAACTGCCATCTTGATCTAGATTCTAGACTACTACTCATCAACTTAGCTAAAATATAAGATGTTAGCTGTTAAACCTGTCATATACAAATGTAGCACCAAAAATAACCCCATGCCCAGTTTATGATTAAGCGTCCAATTCATAATTTTCTAGGACGAGAAACTTCAAATCCCTTAACCTTCAAATTCATATTTTTCTACTTTTAAGTAGAACGCTCAAAAGTTCTACACCCAAAATGTTTCTTATAACCTCGTAAAGCTCTAATAGGTTGGACAGCGCAAGCACAGTAAAGCTAAACAACTTGGGTGGAGTCCAAGCACTTACAAGCACAATAAAAAATAAAAAAATAAAACTAATCCAATTCAGTAGCGCAGAAGAGTATGCCCTCAAACTAACAGATAGTGCAAACGAGTACCTTACAATTGTTAATCAAACCAAAAAAACAGGATTCAAATTCGGCATGGTTGTTAAAGATTTAGCAACCAGTAAAAAAGATCCTTACAATAGATGCAATTTCCTTGTATTCTAACATTCTTAGCAGGCAACAAATTTGTTCTCATATGAATTGGTGCAAAATGGGCAAAAAACTCTACAAGTAGGGACTCAGCCAACAAAATATCCTATATATTGTGCCTTCTTTTCAGAAGAAGAAGATAGAAGGAAAGAATAAAAATATCCAGTTACAAGTATCATGAAACAACACACTAACAACAGAGAATTAGCATTTTTTTTTTTTTTACAGGAAACAAAGAACTAGCATTTGGAAACCTGGAAATAAGATTTGGTTATGATACATATGATGTTTGGAATGATACACTCATCCATTCACGTAAAAAAAAAAAGGGATTATTACTCCAGAAATTACATTTAATATTGCTTAAACTCAAGCAATTATCATAACAGCACCAACAAGTGAAAACCATATTACCAGGGAGGATTGGAACCCTCCCTTACAGAAGGTGACCGGGAACTCATGCTCTCATCTCTACCAAGTCTTGACACACTCCTTCCACCTTTAGGGGTACCCAACATAGGGCTTGAACCTCGGTAGCTGGCACGAAGGGCACCGTCAACAGAAGATGAAGACTTGGCAATTGCTTTCCTCATGAACTTCCGGGCGGCAGGAGAGAGCATCTTGGCACTCGGACTCGCACTTCCCCCTCTATATGGAGATGACAACGGTGGCTTATGTAACATCTTTGACCTCTCCCTCAACTTTCTTGAAGCTTCCCTTGACAACTCGTGGGCCTTCACATCTCTTGAAGGTGCACTAGGAATCTTAAAATGAGGCCCTTCACCACTACCACCAATATCAATAGGAGTGTCCTCATCATCCAACCTCAATGGTGTCCCTTCAATCTCACCCCATGTAATGAATGGGGATTCATCAACCCCTGGAGCTGGTGACGGCGTCCTGACAAAACTATATCCATTCTCTGCTTTCTTTGCCGATTCCACATAGAACCTATTTGGTGTCTTCCTCATATCCTCTAAATCATACTTCTTCGTCTTATCCCCATCTCTATCATACACAGGCCCAGGAGTAGTCCCAGAAACAGGAGTATAAAGCACTTCAACTGTACCATCATCTTTTGGCCTAGAATCCATAATTTTACCATGAAAACGAGTATTTGTTTTATTAATTTCCTTAGTTAAACCCTTCAATCTCACAGCCCGTTCTTCCTCAGTCAATGGGGCCTCACCTCGGTCAGATGGATGGTACATCAACAAATTCTTGGCCGTATACTTCCACCCTTCTAAAGTACTTGGTGGTTGATCTGACGTACCATATCCATCTGTAATTCGATCCCGCTTAACATCCTCAATCAAATTATTATCCGCCTTCTCACCTTCTAATAAAAAATCATATCTATCTTTTCTCTTCCTATTAACTTTCCCTAAAAGTTTCGAAAAACTATCATTATCTTCACTCGTATACCTTCTCAAAAAATCATCTAACTTTAACGACACATCAACCTCACAATTATCATCCCTAGACTCTCCCTCACCGGATAATTCCTCCCCAATTTTCGGAGTTCTAACATTAACATTAAATTCGTCAAAAGGAGTAAAATTTCGCATAAAAGTAGAACCAGGTGTTTGTGTTCGTGATTCAGATTTTGCCTCGGAGCTTAGACTAATTACCCCTTTATTGCGACGTTCTATGATCTTCAACTGGGCGTCTCGTATCTGGATCGGGTCACCGGTTCTGGTCGCCTGTAGCCATTCGTACCGGTCACGAAGCTTAGATAAATCGGGGAAGTAGTCGCGCTCAATGATACTCTCGATCGCCGTGACATACGTGTCTTCATCAAGTACTTTGGGTCGTTTACCTGGTGGAACTTTCGGAGTAGCTGAAGAGGAATTGCTGACGCTTTGTAGATTACTTTCAGAATATGAAGATGGCGATGGTGACGAGATGTCGCGCGGAGAGTGGCCGGGAGAAAGTAGCATCGTTTCGCTGTTGTGAAATTTAGGATAGGGTTAGGGTTTGTCGTTCAGAGTTCAGCCAAGAAATTGATATGGGTTGTTGAGAATTTTTTGGACACGGACAGAAACAAAAACTCGCTATTAACTGCTTAGCACAATATCATGCGCTGTCGTTTCGCTTCCTTTGAGTCGGTGTGAATCGTGTGATTGAATATTCGTAAAAGAATTGGAGTTTGCAGCGGTGTCGCTATGTTTAAGTGTGTGTTATTTCATTTGTTGTCCTTTTATTTTGGGCCCTTGCAAGCGGCCCATAAATCCTTTTCTAACACAAATGATCAGGTCATTGAGCCCAATAACGGTCCGAAGGGAAACCCACGGCTCATATTTAAGGAGAATAAACGAAAATGATCGAATCTAGTCCTTAAGGAAACCATAGATTCCTTTACTGTTCCTCCCCACAGCAAATTATTTCCTGTCGTTTCTCTTCTTCTTCAAGTACGTTTATGGATTAGCCTTTGTAACTTCAAATCCTCTCTTCCCCTCACTACAATTAACTAAATAAAAACAAGTCCTTTACGTTGACTCGCCGCTCGAATCTCAAGCCGGCGAGATCTGCGGCTGAGATCGAGTCAATTAGTCAACGCTTATACGTGTAATTGGAGCACATGATCATAATTTTGCTAGGGTTGTGCTGTTATCTTTCAACTCGAAACTAAAGCTGGTACTTGAATATATATATATATATATATTGGATGAATTTTAGCTGTTTTTTTTATTATGCCTAATTGAATTATATGATTACTGGTGTTAATTTTTTTAATTTTACTCTTTTTCGATGATATTTATGCAGAATTTGAGCTTTTAGTTGGCTTAGGCTCTGTTTGGTTGTTGAGAAAGTGCGAGTAAATTATAGAATTCACAAAGTTTGACTTTTTGATTCACACTATTTTTGACAATTGAACGTTGTATTGAATTTTTACTTTATGTCATGTTGTTGTTATGATAATTGAAGATTTAACCTTTGTAATGATGTCGAGTCTGAATTGGACATTGTTTGTTTTGCGTTCTGGAATTGTTTTTATACTTGGATTTTCTAGCATGGGGTAAGAGCTTTGAAATTGGAGTTGAGTTTAATAGTTGCTGTCAATATCTATCTTTTTGAAAATCAGGAAAGAATGGATTCCATTCCCTTAAATACTTTCATGTGCTGCGTTTTTACGCAAAAGTGCTCTCTAGGAAACGCTTCCAAAGACATGACAAGTAATTGATTTAATTGGTAGACATTTGAAAACTGGAGTAAGGCAAAAGGCATTTCAGAAGCTTAATTTGATGGACAAATCTAGTATATTATATCTGAGCATTGTGTCTCGTGATGATATTATTGGCCATGATAAATTAAGTTTTACTACATATATTACTCTTTACAGCTGCTTTATTATAATCTTGTTTGATGTATTATTGATCTATTAATAAATTCTTGTCAAGTTTATCCTGGGCTGACCCAGAACAGGAATTCAAATGTTTTATTCCAGAGTGACAATTATCATTATTATTATTATTTGGCTAAAATGTACCTTTTTAATTGTATGAGCCATAAATGAGTATAGTAGTAGGTTGACTTTGCTTCACTGGTTTGTGTTAGAAGTAATCTTAAGCATTGTGTTCATAGTAAGTCCTGGCTCAAATTTGAGTAGCTGGTTTTAGTAAGAATGAACAATGATCTGAATGGATCTTTTTCTTTTTGTTTCTGCCTTTTTCTTTAACAGGTTTGAATCTGCAGACTTGGTCTTTATGCTTTTCCAGTGTGAATTCACAAGCAACACCTTGGGTCTATCTGAATAGTTTTCTTACTGACATACAAATCCACAAGTTGCCATGGTTTCCCCAGGAGAGGGTGTACTGCATGAAGTAGCCTCTGAAAAATCGCCGCATGGACAGATCTCTGACAGTGGAAATCATGCATTGCAACAGATCCCTTTGAGTGGAACTAATGCATTGCAATCTGTTCAGGAGGGTAGCAGTCCCTCAGTGACACCAAAGAAAGAATCACTGAATTCTAGTACCAGTCATTTACTGCAATCAGATCAAGAAGGAAGCGTTTCTGAGAAAGCATCAGAGACTACTGAGATCCTCCATGCATCACAATCTGGTGTGGAAGGGAATACTCCTTCTATAATACGTGAGAAAGTGTCAGAGGATGGATATAATTGGCGAAAGTATGGGCAAAAATTTGTTAGAGCAAATGAATTCATTCGAAGCTATTACAAATGTACATATCCTAAGTGCCAAGTTAAAAAGCAATTGGATTGTACCCATGATGGGAAGATTACAGACACTATTTACTTTGGTCAGCATGATCATCCAAAGGTTCCAAACCTTCCACAAGCTGTGGGACTTGTTGTGACAATTGTTGAAGAGAGACCAGATGATTCTTCTTCAAATGTTGCCAAAGGTAAGAAACACTCTTAATTATTAATGCCTAATTTAGTCTTTTGTTAAATTCTTGATTATTTTATTACCTCATATTTGAAGACAAGTCATCTGAAGCACATGGCCAAAGACCTCATCGGATTGAGCCTGCAGATAATCCTTGTCGTTCAGTGGTTGCAGTAAGTGATGATTTGAAAAATACACTTTTGCAATCAAACAGGACTAAAGATGAAGTTGATAATGATGATAGACCGGGATCAAAGCGCCGGTATGTTAGTTCTCTAGCTATTTAAATATCTTTTGTCCTTGTGGATCCTTGAGCTGATTTTTTATTATGATTCAAAAATTATTAACAGGAAAAAGGACAATCTTGATACTAGTCCAATTCCAGTGGATAAACCAATTGGTGACCAACGTGTTGTTCAAACTTTTAGTGATGTTGATATTTTGAATGATGGGTTCCGCTGGCGTAAATATGGACAGAAACTAGTGAAAGGCAATCCAAATCCAAGGTAATACTTTATTTTTAATGTGTATATGTAGCGACAATCACTTCTATGTAATTCACTGACGTTGCATGGAGGCAGCAATTGATGCATATGACTTGATGCTTTCTGCCAAAATCTACCTTCACATTAGTGTCTGGTACCCCAGATAATATCATTTAGTTGAGTTTTACCCTTACCCTCTCTTCTCTCTACTGTCATGTTATGTAGGAATTACTACAGGTGCTCAAGTTCTGGATGCCCGGTGAAGAAACATGTAGAAAGGGCATCTCACAATCCAAAAATGGTTATCACAACTTATGAGGGACAGCATAACCATGATGCCCCGCCGTCAAGGACTGTTACTCATAACATAGTAGGCCCAAATGTTCAAGCAACAACTTGTGATAGCGAGTCTCAGACAAAATTAGAAAAAAATGATGCTGTCTGCCCAGATAGGGTTGTCGATTCTAGTTTAGATCAGAGCAAGTCGAATGAGCAACTAAATGTTGAGTCAAGAACAAAATCTGAAGTAACTGCTGATGGTGGCTTGGAGATGGTTGATGGATCTAAATTGGGTCCTGAAATCAAGTCAGATAAGCAAGAGAATTGCGAGTCGGAAGTCATTGGAGAAAGTCATGTTGGGCATGAAGTCAATCATGTTAGTTCACATCACGGAGGTTCATTGTCAAATGACCGAGTAGATGATGAGTCGGAGGCTAAATCAGAACAAATTGGCACTGCTTCCCATGATACGGTTGTTCATGTAACTCCATGCCCTGAGAATAAATTTAGTGAGAAGGAACAAACACCAAAACCAGAACCAGAGCTTGTTAGAAGCTGAACCCAAGTCGGCGGTTCAATTAATAATGTACCCAAATGGTGATTTTAATTAACATAGATTATTACACTATTCGAGATATGTAAGATTGGGTGAATACCATTAAGTGTGTAAAACTATTGTAATGAGTAAGATAAATACAAAATATCAAGATGTAGATTTTCGTAATATCAAGATGTAGATTTCCTTATTGTTAGAAGTATTTAATGTATAAATATTTTAATTAATCTTAGTTGCTAGCTAAAAGCAGTATTGTGATCATTTTCTTTTCCTTTGATGTCTTAATTCCATCATCTTGTACGGTAAGCCACCATTCTAATCTTGCAATACCTTATATCAAATTAAATCAGGTTCACATAATGGTGAAATTCGATAATATCATTGGAATGGATGAAGATTTAATTGTTAGATGGCAACGTAGTGGCAAAAGATTTGATGTGCTGGGAAAATAGCTAATTGATAATGTGAATCGAAACCAACTTTAAAGCATTTCTTCATTAATAATGCTACGATTACTAAAGATTGTATTCCTAAACCGAGATTCAACCTTAGAAAACCCAATGACTTGATTAACAACAACTACGCATCCTTGATCATCTGTGCTAGGATAACCATTACACCAATGATTCCAAAGCATTAAATGGTCTGAAAGAAAATGGCTAACTTTGATAATATGTAGAGAGTACAGAGCTAAGACACTTTTTTTATAGGAAAGCCATTAGCTACAAGAGCAGACCAGAAAAACCTCAGCTTAAGCCCTGGTCATCAAATGGTTTTTAGTTTTCACTTCCATGCGCTAGATGCAATTAAATCTCTATTCATCCAACCAAGAAACAGAGTCCCATCTTTCTCTTGAAGCCTATATCTATCACAGTAGTTCTCTAGCAGTGTCTTAATTGTGGAGTTAACCACAGAGCTTAAAGGATATGGGCGAAACCCTGCCATTGTGAACCGCAGTCTCCACTTCCCAAGAAGTTCATGACGCTCTACTCTCTCAGGTCCTTCACATGCTATTATGTTAACAACATCCCTTGCTAGACAATGCTGTTCAACATTAATGCGCTCCTTCTGATCCCTTGAGAGGGTCACATCAATTGATTCAAACATAGCTGTATAATAGTCCAGTGCTTCAAGGAACCGTGGGTAGAATGCAGCAGTATTTGTGTTAGATTCCTGCTCAACAAGGGTGACCACCTTCGGGGATAGCTTCTTAACTAGCATCAGTAGCCGGTCCCGATAATTCTCAGTTGTCACACTCTCATCGGGCATGTGGTGCAGCATGAATGCAAAATTCACAGCCACAGCCTCCCCTGGTCGAACCCCAAGATGCTCTAGCTCAACATCATAACCAGAGACGTCTGCAGCATGGAACTCAAATGGCACCTTAAATTCCTTGGCAAGCCTAGAGAGCCTGTTTCCCACTATATTCAGTCCTCCTCCACGTGCATAAGCTGATGTATTATCATCAATACCTGTAATACGTATGTGGGGTGGTCCACCCGGCCTAGCTGCAAATGCCTGGATAAGAGTGAACCATTGACTCCCCTGAGCTATTTGAAAGTCAATGATATGAACTCGATCTTCATCCTTCATAGCTTCTGCAATGGCTCCATTAGCAGACATGTATCCAAATTTGAAGTAGGGGCAAACCTCATATAGGATGAGCATGTAGGAAAAAAGATCAGCGCTTGCTGGTTCCTTGCATCTCAAAGCTTTGTAAATTGAACTCCCTGTGGAGTTCAGCCGGGCAACAAGCCCCTCCAACATATATGCTCCCAGCCTCTGGATTGGCTCACCAGAAACTGACACCATTTTACGTAATTCATGCATCAACCAGGGTGCCATCAACAAGTCATTATCTGATACAGCTTTTGCACAGGCAATAAGGACCTGTTTCAAGTCCCCTCGAGAGATAGCCCCCAGTATTTGTCTCCCACTGTCCATCTCCGGTGAGTCCATGTAGGTGCCATTTTGAAAGGTACTATCGATGCTGTCACTATCTGGTCCCAACATTACAGTTTCCAGTTCTCTCAGCTTCTGCATGAAATCACTTGCATCATTTGTTATGCATGATCCACTCATAGGAGAGCCATAGGTATTGTCAGGGGAATGGTGCAGATCGAGGGGGCATGACTGAGACTCTGGCTGTGACATTGGGCTTCCATTGGATGAGAAAGTGACAATTGATGGGGAGTTATATATAGGGTAACTACTATTGCCTGAAGATGATTCCAGAGTGCAGTACTGTTCATAAGAATTCTGAACGGAGAAGAGGGTTCCTTTGCTGCCGTCACCATATCGAAGGTGGTGGTCTATAGTTTGGAACTGGGGCAAGTAGTATGGCTCAACCTCTTGAATTGGTTGGTAGTATGATCTGCTGGACATGCTTTGATTTCCGTGCTGCTCTGATGCGTGTATTTAAAAACCAGTCTACCTGGCCCTTTAATTACAATGAAACAGCATCTAATCCTTTGTATAAGTTCTGAAAAATTTCAGCATCACACCACAACCAACAAAGTCTGCAAAAAGAGCTTTTATATCAATGCAATTAGACAGTGAAGATTGGAGGAGTGAATGAAAATCGCAGTTCACAAGCTTTATGGCAGCATTTTATACATGAGCATGAAACTGAAATCTCGCATAATTGATTAAATTTGAGTTTATCATTAATTAGAGACAAGGTATTAAATGTTTTGTTGGTGGTCCATTCTCCATATCAGACTAATCCAGAAAGTAGTCAGAAAACATTATTGTAAGCCACCTGGTCTGCGTACATGCCATATAATTGGATAAAACTACTTCTTATTCAGCAGTAAGATCTCTCTCAACCCTTTTCAGGAAGTAGTTGCATTTCAAAAGGGGAAAAGTTCTTTGAAAATAAAACCAGAAATAGAACTTAGACATAATTAATTACTGGTAAGAGGAAAAGTAAAGACCCATAAGAAAACAAACAGTTCTATAAATGTCTCGCATATGGCACTGCTTTTGCAGTCTTGAAGTTTAAAATAGCAAATCAAACATTTCCTCTTCTGTAACTGTATAGCAAAGCATACGGATCTGAAACCTAGTGAAACAGAGAGAAATACAGGATCCTTGCATTCACAGCTCAACTAGATTGTAATTCCTTAAATATCTTCTCTATCACTTCACACTCCCTCTTCTCAATTTGCCTAAATATATCATTAAATTATCCTTAAATTATCTCATCCTCTAAAAATCAAAGTATATTCTCGTCACAATATGCAAATGATTACACACATACACACACAGAAGTTTGTATATGTAGAAAATTTTCGACTTTAATCAAAGTAAATTGGCACTGTCTTCTCTTCTGTTATTCACCATAGGTTGCTAGAGGTTGACAAGCGATGTGTGACCAAATTGAATAAATCTACCTTCCTGATACGTCACATTATTTTAGTTCTAACAGCCAGAAAGGGAGAAAACTCATAATAGCTACGCAATTTGAAACAGAAACCGGGCAAATCAAAAGCCTAATTCCAGCCTATTTCTTGATGATTCTTGCCCCATTGAGATTCAACAAGTAACGTCTAATTCATGAGGAACAATTTTAACAAGCAATTAGAAAAAGGAGAAAGATAGGGCGTGGGATGAAGAAGGTGATTATCAAAACTCATAGAAAGGCCATAGCTGTTTCACCAAACCAGCAATAATCTCCAAAAGTAGAAAAATCCCAGTTCACAAACACAACAGTTAACAAACAAACAAAAAACTGTAACCATTTGATTTCTCGTATTGAACATCACATATCAACTTCAAGCAAAACGAGGAACACTGACATTGCAAATGAAAGCCAGTGGCCATTTCAAGCCAAAACTCAATCTTCTCTAGTTGACATCATAAGGTATACAACTCATAAACCAACCAACAAAAAGATTTAAGAAAAAAAAAACCTTTCAGTGATTCATCGTCATCCCACTTGCAGTAAAACTCTGTCATCTGTGGAAACTGAAACTTGAGCTCATACTTCGCTGTGAAAGTAACAGATTATCACACCAACAGTTTGAAGAAAAAGCAAAGAATTTAAGAAGAAAGACAACAAGAAGAGTAAAGAATAATATCTGTTTCGACATCAAGCCATTTATTAGTTATTACACATACCCGCTTTGTTTTAAGGAATCTCCATATTGGTAGTTCACTTGAAGAAACTAAAAAGCCAGTTGAGTAAGAAAGAGAGAAGGAAAACAAGACACGCATAGAAAGTGATCTCTATTCTCTTAAGCTTACATATGCAAGTGTTATAAAAATTACTGGTTCAGCAAAAACCCTGTAATTACGTTGAAACTACACTGCTGCCACTCAAACAAGCCGTCAACACAATTCATCTTCAACCTTAAATTTATCAATTTTTATTCATTCTTTATATTGTGTTGTTTTCATTCACTTAATTGAGATTTATTTTAACACTCAATTAGTTAAATCAATTAATTGACCCTTTGGGAGTATACAACTAACAACTACTAGTGTAATACTAGTAGATTGGCACTTTTTATTATTTCTCACCAATAATACATGCTAATGGTGGACCGAAGTTTGCTTGTTAATTAGAGGGAAAAGTTTGAGTTGGCTTGAAGCTGAAGGGACGTTTATTATATTAGTGGAAGAGACACGAACAATCTAAAATAACCTTGGCTACTTGGCTTGATAATAAAAGGAGGTTTCGTCACTTTCTTGAATTTTTTGGTTTAAACCTTGAGCTAACCTACTTTAATAACATTATAGCTTACTTGATCATTTAGATTTTTAAGATGTTCAATAGATCCACAGGATTAGTTGAGATATGCACAAATGAGCTCAAACGTCCCTGAATAAAATAAAAAATAACTAAACACGCTCAACCAAAAAAAGTTTAGAAAATAACAAAAATACCCACATTCACCCACATTTGCTAGATTCCTACAACCACCGCTAGAAGATAGTCGAAATCTGACGTAATGGCACACTACCGGTTGAATCTGGCTGATAGTGCACAAATCCAGCATTTTTCAACCAGATCCACCATGGCTCTGATCGGAACCGTCAATGACGGTCAAGATATGGCCGTCGTTGACGACCATATTTGGCCATCAACGACAAGATCTGGTCGTAGATCTGGCATTTTTTGGCCGAAAAATGTTATATCAACACACGATCGGCCAGACTAGCAATTCGTACGCCATTACGACAGATTTCGACCACCTTTCAGCGATGGTGACTGGAATCTAACAAATATGGGTGGGTGAAGTATTTTTGTCAATTTTTAAACTTTTTATTATAAGAGATGTTTAGCTAAATTAATAAATATAAGAGATATTTTTGTTAATTTTTAAGTCCTACGTGTAATAATAACTCAACTTAATTTTTTCAAAAATCCACTTAAAATAATAAACAAACAGAACCATAATAATGTCATACATCTTTTGCAGGGTACAAAGATCAATGCTCACTAATTAACAATTAATTGATGATTAAATTATTGCACATAATCTTACTAGTGTCACCCCACATGGGAATTCCATTATATAAGAACAGCCATAACCGCACGCATGCAGTACACGAGAATCGATATCATAATTGTTAACAATCTAAAATTTTCACTTAATTGTGATCATAAACCGCTTTAATTTGAACAAAGTAACACGAAATGAAAGGGGTAATGTTGGGAAAGAAAACAAAGAAGTGGGGTGGGAACCACATGATTGAATCAGAGCCGTAGAAAGACACTAACGTTACAACTTAAAAAAGGCATATAAATGACGTAGGAAGTAGTGCCTTCCACTTCAGCTAACATGCACCACTTTTTTATATTATTTTAATTGTAAGTTGAGTTTCAACCCCTCTTTGTCTTTAGAATCTAATCTAAATCTTATTCTTTCAACTCTTTTATCGTCATCTTAATTATATATTATTAATCATGTTTATCGAGGAGATTATTATTATAATCATAATCATATTCCTCTTTTGGTTACAACTGATCTTCACACTATATGAGTTGAGATTATTACATTACATTGGATTGATAGAAACCTTAAACAAATGAAGAGCATTAATATGTTTCCTAACAAGTCACACGATGTCTACCCAAAATTGGTATATGACCATATTTATAAACTTAAAAAATATTGAAAGTGTGTGTGACTCTACCTCCATTTATAATAAGATACAGGCATCCTTTAGGGGATGATGAAGACCTCCTAGTTGTTCTCTTCCCAAACATGCTTTGGAATCAAATTCAATCTCAAAAAATAAAAAAATAAATGGAATCTTGTTTCTTCTTTGTGTCCTTCAAAGTGAGTGTACCAAATGGCCCACACACTTATCTTCAATAGCCCTTTTCCCATACCCGAATTTGGCATATTGTGCTTGTCGCTATACTTAAATGGGCCTTCTTTAACTTGATGTAACTTTAAGCCAAATATATAAGATTGAATCAAATGAAATCGCCACCATCATCTAATCTAACTCTTTTTTGCTTTTGTTTATCAATTGCGACAACTTAAAAAGTCACAATCACAACAACAAAATTAAACTAGTACAAAAAGTGTAGTGTGCCAAGGGAAGAGAACCGACAACCTCTCAATCATACTAAAAAGAGAATAATCAAGATGGAGTGCAAGAAAGAACATTAATTTAATTCTCTCGTGCTTAGCATCAATTCTTTATAGGATTCTATAAGGATATATGCTTAATCTACTCCTAACATGTAAGCCCCTCATGCAAATTTTACTTTTATCCTTTTAACGACTTATATTAACCGACTAATAACATAACTAATCTCTTTGTTTGAATGCTATGAACACTGCATGTCAAATGTAGATATCATAAACTTTATGAAGGTAAATAAATTGACTAATAAAGATTGGCTCATAACTCAATCTTACAAATTTTCTTTTACAACTTTGATATGACAGCTTATAATTGGGAAGACGGAACGTATTATTGGATAGACAAGACCCATTATAAGCTGATTAATTGTGAATTATTATGTTGAAATTGTGAAAAAAAACCTGTAAGATTAAATTGTAAGTTATGCACTCCAAACTAAGAAATGAGAGGGTTGAATTGGCAAATTATATCAAGAGGGAATGAAAGTAGTCAAGGCTGGGTGTTGTCCCCTAACCAAAGCCCCGAAAAAGGTGAGGTATGTAATTGGACCCATAAATTAATTGGCGCATGGAATTTACATCAATTCCAGGTACCAAATTTTCAAAGATTTACAAACTTCTATGAACCAGAATGGACAGAACAGCAAAGCTGTAATGAGAGTTGTTGACTTTACCTACACATTTCATTGTCCTAGTAGCCGACCATGTTTGGGCTTTGGGAAGATTGTCTCTGTTAACTTTCTGCCTTTGCATCTACAGGTTTTGTCTTAATATTCACAATGTAGTAAGTTGTAACCTTCAACTGGGTCCTAACTACCCATTCTCATTTGCATTTTGGGTCTCATATGACTTTTGGTCTCAAATGGGTCCCCTCTGTAACACCTGTATCTTCTTCTCTTCGTCTAAATCGAGACAACGTTAGGAAATTCATTCCTTCAATCACGTTAGCTTTTCAAATCATTTCCGAGTGAGCCGGGTGTGCCGCGTCAAATCATTAGTATATTTCTCTAGTAAAAATTTACCGCACATGTATTTTCTTTTAAAAATTATTAATCACAATTGTATGTTCTTATTATTATCAATGTGAAAAAGGAAAAATAAATATCTATAATTGTCAAAATGGGAAATTTTCTTAGCTATGTTATTGATATTTCTTGGAAGGCAGAGTAATGGTGGGTGGGTAGAGTACTAGTATAATGGTTTAATCATTAATGGGCACGCTTATATACAGAATATCATGTTAGCATGCCTGCTTTGAACTGACATGTCTCTCTGTCACTTGAGACTATTAAAGTTTCCAGGAATATAATACGTTCTTTGGACGCTCCACAAGAATATTTATCTAATTAATACAATGATGGACTAAATATTCTGGGTTGTATATTTCTAGGACCATACCATTAAAGAAGATAAAGGGGAAGTCCTTAAGTTGACTGAGAACATAAAGCATTACGTTAAGCCTTTGATTAACCTGTAATCCATGTATATTTTAAGTCAATGATGAGACTTAATGTGATTGGTTGAACGTGGAATTGGTCTTTCTAAGAAAAATGAAACCCTCTCATCGCCCACCTGGTCTTAGTTTCAACTTTCTTTATAAACTAATAAAAGATCATACTTTCTTTTTTAGAGGGCTAGACATAGATACCAAGAAAATTAACAGATTTCATGACCATGGAACATGGATGCCACCTCACGCGGAATAAGAGTTTGGTTAACTATAGAATTTGAATTCTATTTTGTTCTATTCGAGTCATCGGAATTATTTTCTTAGCTTTTTTCCTGCTAGAAAACAGTTCACTTTACAAAAATGTAAAACAAATCAAAATGATTTAGACATAAAATGCATATGAATCTAATGTTAAACTCATCTACCATTCACAAATACAACGTTTATATGTACTAAACATTATGTTATGCGTCAGAAAGATTCACGGCACACTTTGAATGTGATTTCAACATCCTAAACAATGATCTCTCTCTCGTGCATATTTGGTTACTGCTTCACACCCATATAAATAGCTGGGCCAATTTTTTCTCTTCTAAACACACGTTAAGAAACTTTTCCATTCATAAGCCTCTTTATATTAAAACCCAATGGTATATTCCAAGAGAGTGTGACTTGTGGGCTGAGGCCTTTCTGACCCATAATTGCTTTTCAAGGCTCACCCCTAAAAAATTTAACATCATTTTTAGACGAATTGATAAATATCTCATTTATAACGTAGTTTGTCAAAGACTGAAACTGGGGAAATACAGAGAGCAAAGAAGAAGAATAATGGATCCTAAACTCTGGCACAAAATCGCTGCTGTATCAGGTATTAATATTAGTTTATTTCATGTTTTTCACATTTTTATGGATTGATTTGGTAATACCCAGATTGTGATTTTGTGTGAAAACAGGTGTAGCAGCACTTGGGTTAGGCACATATGGTGCTCATGTCTTCAAGCCCAAAAACCCCACTTACAAAGAGGTATTTTTTCTCCATTTCAGTTCGTTTCTAGTATTTTCATCCTATTTATTTTATGCTTGAACTCAATTTGATGTATTTGTCTGTTGCAATTTATTACAAATGTAGGTTTGGCAAACAGCTTCTCTATATCATTTGGTTCACACTGCTGCTATTCTTGCTGCACCTATCACCAAACATCCTAACATTGTAAGTGTTTACATTAACCAAACAATGCTTTGAATTTATGTGTCGTGTCCCTTGAATAAATTGAAGTTGATGATAAGTGACATGTCAGTACCAATTTGGTGTCATATCAGTTGATATACAAAACTTGGCCAACGTCTTGTTGAGAGTAGTATTATCTGTATTCTAAGTATTTGGTAGCATAATTTTCTTCATGAATTTGATTAGACTCATGAAGCTTACTAAAAGTAATTTGGTGGTTGTATGATGCAAATTATTTTTTAGGGAGAGTCTCCTATAACTGTTTAGTGAAAGTTATTGAGAAAGCATGAATAGTCTAAAGTGAGATCAAGATACCTAATTACCTATGCCAAGTCTAGCTTCTTTGATTACAGTTGTATAACTTTTTAAGTAATGCGTGCTGATTATCTTTGAAAATTTATGACAAAATGGAGAAATTATTAGTTTTTGGCAATAACACCAACAGAAGTATCTTTGACTTTTGGCTTGTCTTTTGTGCCAGTTTGGAGGCCTTTTGACTACTGGTATTATCGCATTCTCTGGGACGTAAGTGATCAATGCTTTTTATGTTCACATATTTGGTAGATTATATTGGATTTATTTGAAATTTATACTTCATTGATGCTTCGTTTGAATGCAAAACTTTGTTGAAAGTGAGCTTAGGTGCTTTGAAATTTACATTTGTATAGGTTTTATTCATTTATTAATTTACTCTCCATGTTTGTTTAGCATGCAAAAGATATTCAAATGTGTTGGATAATATATAGCTGAATTTTGTAATATAATAAGTATGAGAGACTGATGGCTGATGAAGTGTCCGAATATAATTAGGTTGAAGTGATAAGTGGTTAAATTTCAATTAGTTTTGTTACATACTGATACATTATGAGTCTAATTGGTTATACATCAGACTGCACACCATCATTGGCTACTATATGTTTATGTCTAAGAGTTTTAAAGGGTTTTCATATATATTTTACCTAGCTATATTTCGAATAAAGGAATGAGTTATTTATTATATTTGATTAATTTGCATAATTCTGATGTCTTATTTTATTATTTATCTATTAAAATTGTCGATGAAATGTGGTAGTGATGTTATACTCAGTGCTTAGTTGCCATGGGACTCTTATCTCCTCTTCTACAAGGCATACTTGAAAGAGGGTGAGGACGAAGTTCTCTCAGTATATTATGGAGAAGCAGATGGCAAGGACACATTGAGTAGAACTTGTCTAGGTTATTTTTAGTGATCATTCGGATTGGATATCGAGGTTATCGGTCTAGCGTATTCCTCTCTCTCTCTCTCTCTCTCTCTTAGACAAGAAACACCAAACAATCTGCATTGATGATAAAGAAAAGATAGTTCTGAATGCAGTTAGAACCTATTTTTCCATTTTGATCCTTTTCTATGATAAATCATCTTTTCTTGTTTCTCAGTCATAATTCCTCATCTGAAGGTACGGTACTGTAATTACAGAAATGGTTGCCTGACACTCTGACACTCTACTTTTAGCAAACAATCTTGCCTCTCCTTTGTTTATGCTTCATTTGTATGATTGAATTCCGGAAAGTTGAAAAAAGTTTTCTCGAATTATTTAGGTGCTATACTGTGGCTTTACTGGAGGACAGGAAGTACTCTACGCTTGCACCTTTTGGTGGCTTTGCATTTATTGCTGCTTGGGCAAGCTTGCTTTTCTAAGGATTTGCATAACTTGTGTTACTGCACTATATCTTCATTGTCTATGCATCGGAATAAAACATTTTGCTGAAGGAATCTCTTCTCGTATATGCCAAGCCTAGGCTTGGTTTATAATTAAAAATGTAAATTTCAATACACATTTGTGTTAACAGCGCCATCATGTGTAACTTAATGCCCTGCCGTTGTATGCAGATCTTGGAATCTTATTGTGTAATTTCATTTTTAATTTATCTGTAATCCCAATAAGTTCTCAGTCTCACTCTGAACATAAACATGAACTGAATTTAATTCAATACTTTGTGTTTAAAGTCGAAGAAGAAATTTATGCATTTAAATTGTGCAATATGTGCTCTCGTGCCTAGAGTAGTTTTGAGGAAGCGCGAGAACTTTGTTTAATATAACAAAAACTGAAAGAAAGAAGCAAAGCAAAACCGACTTCTCCTTGTTGACTCGAAGTGAGCCAAAAAATCATCTCAACCTCATTTTAATCTGATACAACAGTGAAACTAAAACAAACTTCACTGCTCTTCCCATTCCCATTTCAGTCATTGCCAGGGTGTGAACTCATAGTGGCAAGAGTTATAACCTGCATCCAAAAATTTAGAAAAAAGCTCGTTATCGAAGGAACAATAGATTACATGATTGGGAAAATTGTAAAATTAAAACTGAGCAGACAAGATTAGTGGCTCCCACATGGGTTGACGTCTCTGATTTGTTTTGTACCTTATTTTAATTGTTTTAAAACCTGGATTGGAGGACAACCCGTTTTGCTGTCCGGGTCAACCGCTCCAACTGATTGGACCGATGACATCAGCGACAATTTTATTTTTAAAAAATTAACCCCTCAAGTTTTAATATATTACAAAAATTTCCCTAAAAAAATTCATTAGTCCCTAAATTTTTTATTTATTTTAAAATGCCCCAAAAAAATTACCAATTAATCCTTAAACTTTTGACATATCTCAAAAACACCCTTATAAAATTCAATTAACCCTTATAATTTTGAAATATTACAAAAACTCCCTTAAGGCCTGAACCGGACCAGAGAAGCTGCCGGGTCCCGGTCTGGCCGGTCCAGTTTTTAAAACAGAGCTTATTTTTATGCGTGATGAAAGGAAGCTTACCCATCACTTCTGTACCAGACAGTTGAAAAAGAAAATAATAAACAAAAATGTTCTTAGCCAATCTCACGTGCCCTATACTCTTTGCACATGGAAATGGTGTGGACTAATTCTCTTATTTTGCTTGATGAAGATGAGAAATTCAATGTTTATGATCTCTGGTTAAATAAAATAATAAGAAGAAGAAGATCACTTCAGAACAAAGAAATATAAGCTAATAAAATAATATAATTAAGTGCTTACTGGGATCAAGCTCTGTAATCAAGCCAGCTCCTTTGAAGTAGCAAGATCCACCTTTGTTCTTGTACTTCTGAAAGTAGTTGTTGAAGGCATAGGAAGCGTGATCTTTAGTGGTGTTGGGATAAAAACAAGGCTGATTGGGTTGAATGTTAGTACAATTTGCGCCACCAGCCCCACAAGCCCAATCCATGGCCTCTAGCAATTCACTATCCGGAGTCTGCTCATCTGCAATGCACCATTGTTCATCCTGCCCATCTAACATATGTATATATGTGTGCACATAACATAAAATCAATTAGGAATGCAAAACCAGTATAGAACAAGAATGGAACTCACTCTCATTGATATATATTCAGATCCTAAGTTTGCTATGTATGAAAAACAACTGAGTTACGTAATTGAAAGAAAGAATTTATGATCGGGAATTGGTTAAATTACCTGATTTTGGAGAAATTAGAAGCATAAAAAGCAGAGCAAGCATCAGCCTCAGTAAAATAGTTGGCATGGAGAGAGAGAGAGAGAGAGAGAGAGAGGAGAGAATTGGGAATGGCTGAACAATCTATCCAATGAGCCACAAACAGTTTAATATGGATGGTGTTAAAAATATTTAAAACTAAGGTAACATTAAAGTTGTTTTTGGCATAATAAAATAAGGTCTGGTGTGCAGTTACCAATGTTGAACCCACTTCGGGAATGGGCTTCAGCCTTCATGTTGAACACTTCGGATTCGGAAAATCTCATTGACCATGATGAAAAGACCAAACGTTTAAAAACTGTTAAAATAAACTCTTGAATGGTAAAATGGTCCTTCAAATTTAACCTTCTTTCTAAAATTCTATTAATAAAAGCAACCATCGATAAAAAACAAAAAGAAGAAAAACAGAAATTTCCGGTGACCGCCAGAGGAGAATGATGGCCGGTAAATCCTGGCTTGGGCGACATCGCCTTCTAAAAGTCCAATTTTTGGAAAAATTTCCACTCCATCTAGCTGGTCTCCATGTTATGATATTATAAATTAAGTTCTTCAACTTTTAGATTGCATCTCCTTGGAGCAGTAAGATATTTAAGTAAGAGACATGCTTATGAGCAACTAATTTATTTACTCTACCCACATTTATGTTACAATGATACTAGAAATATGAAAGAATACAACAAAGACACGGGGTTCTAAACAAACTGGACTTTCTTTTCAGTTTACATACAATCAACAGTAACAGATTTACCCTCTCCATCAACATACCAATACTGCAATCCCGGTGAAAATGCCTTCTTTCAGCAAAGATACAAGGTTTTTCCCTAAATACTCTTGAGCTCCACTGCATTAATTTCCAATACTTGTTGTTTTGTTCTCTCCCTCAAAGTGAAGCAGACTTGAATGAAATGATACAATGCCCAGAAAACCCACTTTTGGCTCTGATAAAATGAATAATTCAAACTTTCACCCACTCTTATTTGCATGTACGTATCTCACGCAACTCCTGAGATGAAAAGATGATTATTCATCTCATCAGAACTTAAAAGATGGATATTTTAGCATCATAATCTTTCAGTCTTTTCCTACTTACTTCAAGGAAGATTCAACAAAATGTCAGTTGAAAAGCAATAGAAGACATTAATTAGTTCAATAATTTAGATATCTACAAAAAAAAAAGACCACCATTTTGCGTTATTGATCTCAGCAAGTGATCATATGATGTCGTGAGGATACGACACCATGCATTTGACTACTCTCCCCCCAGTATTTACGCATGTACTGTCACAACTCACAAGCACAACATTCCTGGAAACAAAAAACCATTCAGATCAGATTTACAATTAACATAGTGTTCTTAATTATAATTTTCCATTGTATATCCTTAATTAAATATAAAATTACTCATCATTTCTGTCAAGTACAGAATTTCATGAAACAATGAGGAATGGTTTTAAGATTGACCAAAAAAGGGCAGAAGTTTATCTAATTTGCAAAATTACTGAGAACATAAGCTTTAATCTTTTTTAAGATTTAAAGGGAAAGCAAATAAATGATATTTAATGAAAGAAAATAAAAATATGTTTTCCCAGGTGAAAAATGGAGTGTGACTAATAAAAGAATTGTGTAAATGAAAATAACATTGAAATGAGGCAGGCATGGCAGAGCCAATGCCGATGTGCATTTGTATTAAAAAAAAAAAAAAAAAAAGTTGCAAAAAGCTTACCATAATTGGAAAGGCATTAATGATGAGGTACGAATTGGCCTGTATACCACCTGATAACAGTCAGGCTTGATGATATTTGAACCAAAGCACTTTGGGTGTCAATCCAGATATATAGAAGACCAACAATTGTCAGAAGTTAAATAACCACTGCCATTTCAATCTGACCTTGTCAACCAGACTCAAAGAATTGTGACAATGCAAAATAAAGTTGCTCTTCTTCAAAAGGCTTCGACACATAACCATCCATCCCACAGTTCATACACTTCTCATTTGTGGCCTGAATGACATCAGCTGTCATTGCCAATATTGGTACATGCCAGAGTGTCCTTATCTCACTTGATGATTCACTAGAAGCAACCTCATCATTAACCTTATTCTCTATGCAGCGAATCTGTCGGGTAGCTTCAAACCTGCACAATTTTAGATCATAAGTTTTTATTAGTCCTGAGTAAAATTGGTAGTACAGTGGCTGAGTTATAACATAGAACTGAACTAGATATAAAAAGAAAAAGATTAATTACCCATCCATTTCTGGCATTTGCAGATCCATGAAACAAGCATCAAAGTCATGGGGTGGTTTAAGCATCTGTAAAGCAGTGCTACCACTTTCAACACAAGTAACTATTGCTCCATATTTACTTAGGGCACCTTCTGCCACTCTTCTGTTAACCTTATTGTCATCCACCACCAGTATTCGTTTCCCTTTTAGTAAATTCCCAGGATTAATGTTTTTCTTTCTATTTACTTCCCACTTCTTGTTGCTTCCAAGAGCTTCTTGCAACCAGCCAAACAAGGCACTCAACCTAAGAGGCTTCATCCGCAAATCTATAACACCATCCAATTTCAGCTCATTGAGTTCTGCAGGATTAATGTAGGTAGCCAAGAGAAAAATCCTTTGAAATTCTACTCTGGAGTTCAGGCCTCCTTTTTGCCTTTGCTGTTTGAGCAACTGATGAAATGCAAGACCAGTTTCCTTGTTCCAAACATCTTTGTCAACAAGAACTATAGCCAACTGTGCCAACATACTGGAGCAAAACAAAGGGGCAAGCATAAGCACAGAGTCGCAAATATGGTACATCACAACAGTAGTTTTCACTATAATTAAATTATTGAAAAGAAAAAAGAGATTGATGTGTACAAACTACCATATGAATAGCCATCAAAAGCATTTGAAAATTCAGTTCCAAACACATAGTAATCATGACAACATCATTTTCCATGTTCATCTTGGTCACTTAATATCATAACAAGGTATAGGTTTTCATCCATGTTGGACGTGCTAAACTAACCCATCCTCTAGTTTTCTCAATCCAATGCATTATTTGGTTTTTTTCCTTAAGAGTGTAGAGATAGAAATGCAATTTAAGAAAAAAAAAGGCAATTTCTTAGCCAAACCCTTGTATTGGTTTACAGTTAGTGTATACATTTTCAAGATATTATGAAAAATCATCCTTACAAATATTCTCGCAAAGTGGAATGTACCTGGGGCTGCAAGTATCAGATATAAAAGTGCATGCTGATTGGATACTGTCAGTAATATCCACAGCAATTCCCAACCTCTGAAGATGATATCTGGTGACCTCTGCACGAATGCTTCTGTCATCAATTACCAATGCTCTTAATCCTTGGAAGTCTCTAATAGCTGGATCATAGTGCTGCCACTTATCCAGTGGACCTGCTTCCCCTTTTCTAAAAGCTACAGTAAATGAAAAAGTACTGCCAGTATTAGGTGCACTTACAAACCCAATCTCCCCACCCATGAGCTCCACCAGACATCGGCTGATACTTAATCCAATTCCAGTACCACCATATGTTCGTGAAGTGGAACTGTCAGCCTGCATAAAAGGAGTGAAAATACGGCTTTGGGCATCAAGAGGAATTCCAACACCTGTATCCTCTACACTCACTAGTAATTTAACAATTTCAGGCTGCTCCATAGTATCTTTGTTGTTTAACATCTTAAAGTTTTTCCAGCTATTCCATCTATTAACCACAGGAAACCCACTCAATGATCTGCACTCCTTGTTTGACTCGTCTTCATCTGATCTTAAACTTTGTTGCAGTACTTTGTCCTGAACATCAGGTTTGCTACTCACTTCATCAGCTAGATGCAATGAGACAAATATATGCCCCTTGTCACGTATGAACTGCAAACCAAGTGAAAACAAAAATTTATCCAACCAAACTTATATAACACAACAATGTGGATTTGATGGAATTCATCATTTTATTTAGGGCGGATCCTTCTTTTGAGAGCAGGTATATACTTTCTATTGAGCTGCTCCCTTTGCTTTCATTTCATAATTATTAAATAAACTTAATTTAGTAAACATATATTTATTATAAATAAGTATAAATAAAATTTTAATAAAATAAATAAACATTTAATCAATTTTTATTTAAATTAGTTTGACAACAAAATTTGAATTTATAAATGTCACACGTAATCCCTTCAATACACTAATGCACCAAATAATAACCCAATTCCCAAGTTACCAAACGCACCCAAAGCACATTCCACAGGTCAAAAATTAAATAAAAGATGAAGCCAAAATACATCAAGGTTCTCCAAATTGTTTCCAGTTTCCCAAAGGTTCAATAAAGGTTTAGAAGTAAGTATTAGGAATACATTAAATAACAATTAGCAAACCAAAACCCACACACAATCAGTGAGGTTTAGGTTTGTGCAATTGGGTTGATTCTTGAAATTAATAGAGTTCTATTCGTTTCATTACAAGACAAATGACAAAAGAAGAAATATAACTCACCTTAATTGAGTTTCCAACAAGATTTGTAATTATTTGGCGGAACCGACCAGGATCACCAATGACAACTTCAGGAACCTGATCGGAGACATATACAGCAAACTTCTCTCACATGAAACAACACCAATAACCAAGTTTATGTAAGAAAGGTGGTAATGAAAAGACCCACTGAAGAAGAGGAATAAGACAATGAAAATAATAAAGGGACAATTTGGTATTACCTCAATTCCTTTCTCACTACATTTTCCCGAGAAAAGCGATAGTATGTTATCAAGAACTAAATGCACATAAAATGGTACAGATTCTGGCTCAAGTTTGCCCGATTCTATCTTTGCTTGATCAAGAACATCGTTTATCAATGTGATAAGATCTTTCCCACTAGCCAGAGCAGTCTCAGCAAATTCCATTTGTTCGGCATCAAGATCTGTGTGCATCAGCATTTGCAGCATACCTAGAAATGATCATAATAAGCAATGTGTCAATTACTCTTGCCAAGTTTCTAGAATACCAATAATATAACAGAAATACTATTTAGTTACCTAAGACACCATTCATCGGAGTCCTGATCTCGTGGGAAACAGTTGCTAGAAACTAAAGAAGGGAGAAAGCTTCAGTGATTAGAGTAACAGAACTACATTGTTCTAAGAAACGAGGAGAAAAGTAAAACCAAAGTTGAAAATCTCTTGGGGGAACCCCTGAAAGTGATTCATTCTTCAATGAGGTAAAGCATAAAACTATTCAGATGGGAATATCTCTGACTGTTAATAACAGCAGAGAGCTCCTCATCAATGGGACAAGGCTACAAGGGTATGCACCTGGGATTTTGCCACATCTGCAGCCTCAGCACGAGCTTTGAGCTCCATCATCTCAAGATAGTCCTTCTCCACTTGTGTAATTCGACTGATGGCCGCATTGAAAATATGACTAACAAGGCAAGTGATTATTAAGAGCCCAACTGAAGCATTTATTGCTGTCCAAGGTAAAGGAGCCTTATGCATATACCTGCAACAATAAAATATAACTTGCACCTGAGCAATTATATGATTCCACAACTTTCTGCTGACGGTGTAACTACAGTTTTTGCAAGAACTAACCTGCAGTGTATCTCATGCCTCCTCATGGGATCTCCAAAATCAAGGCTGCTAATATGTGGTAGACCAATACCACAGATGTCAGTACCATACATACGGATGTAAGCAGATGCATTAGTCGTGTCATATACATTCACAATAATATCTTCTGTGCTGGCAAGTTGGTTCAGAAGCTTCTCCACTAATGATGGAACATCATAGGATGCACCAAGATACCTTTTGAGGAAGTAATCACAGTATTAAAATGTATTTATTTCTTTGGAATAAAAAATAGAATAGTTTGTAACAATAAAATAACTTTTCCAGGCCATATTAGGGAAATCAAGAATATTCATGAGGAGACATACCCAACAGTAGCTTCAATATGTTGTTTTGGTGTAGCATCCGGGGGTAGCTCAGTCTTATAGACAGCAAATGTGAGTACAACACCAAGGTGATTGGACTTCAATAGCTTAAAGGGCGATGTCAGTACTCCCTTTCCAGATGCCCTTGCTCGCAAAATATTCTCACGATCTTCCTACATAACATATAATGGCTCTATTAGTTTGGCAGAAAAGGTTTATTAGATGATAGATGCTCATAAAAGCAGTCTGTTATTGAACATAAGCATTTTAGGGAAACTTGTGTTTTGAAAATGCATTTCTAGTACAGCTAGAGCAAACAAGAAGAATAAAAGTTACCTAGTGAAAAGAAACTGATAAGGAAAATAAGCAAGCACCCAAAGCTAAACGAAGCACACCTTTCCAGACATCATGTCAATAGAGACAATGTGAGATACAGTTTGTTGAGCAAACACTACAGGTGCATATTCATCTTGAACAGGTGCAGGATCCAAATTTTCCGGTACACAATCCTGTACTAGGGTCTGGTCCTCAGTTTCCATTTTCTTTATAGTCCATCCATGCTGCTTCTCAAATTGTTCCCTATCTGAGTGAAGAACTTTTAAAGCATAAGCTACACCACTGGTAAGTGGTCTTTCAAAAGCTGTTTTCTCAGTAAATATACCAAATGTTGCCTGCATAATAAAAGCGTCAATTTCAAGATCAGTATAACTTTTGAACACAAACTATTGCAGAAAAAGAGACCAGATACTATTTGTTCCTTCTTGTACACTTGTGAATCCTCAACAACTTTGCATACATAACTATGAGTAATTCTCTTGTGAGGTTGCACAACATCTCATATTCAACTTATTAACTTGGACATAGGTTTAGACAGCACTAAATAAAATTCCATAAAATTAAAATCTGAAAGAAAACAGAGGAGAATCAGGTAGAAGAGAAGATTACCTGATCCATTGCAGATGGATGTTTTCTATGGTGAAAGGTGGATACTAGAATAGCCAGAGCATGAACATGATTCATGCTCACATTGAACTGATCCTGCAGCATCCGTGCTCGCTCATCACACATGCTGGCTAGTGTCTCTTTCCTCTTCACCACCATCTTTGTATACAAGTGATAAAACGTGAAGAAGGACATTGAAATACCAAACAAGAAAAATAATAGTAGGAACTTCCTCCTCCACTTTCGAGCACGTTTAGGAGGCTGCTGATGTTGCTGCCTGTGTTGTTGCTGTGACTGAGCCAGCATATGCATCTCAGTCCCTCTCAATTCCAAATATAAACCAAAAATGATGCAGCTTAATATCATTCCAGCAAGGACCCACCAATATTCTTTGACCAAATAAAAATAGGAAATCTTAAAATACTCTCTTGCATGGTGTCTCCATGCACTTATTTGCAATAGGTTCTGCCAAAAACGAAACAACCAACACATTAATTATCCTATGGCATCAAGCATTGAAGACTATTAACATTTTCCTTACTATTTAGCACAGTTAACAAATATTTTCAGTAGGAAAATGTTGACAGGAATGTTTTAACTCTATTTGATTTACCTAAGAGAGTTTTTAGACAAAGGAAACAAATTTCAATATCTTCTTGTTTATTGCACAAGGAAATGATTAATAAAGCTGAACTGATTAATATAATTATGCAGTCAGAAGAAAAGATTCCTGACAAACCCATTTAAATGCCTAGTACAGATACTATCAGACTATAGCACTCATAAGTGAAATTCACAACCCAAGAATTAAAAGCATACTTATCCCATAATTTGGCAACTTGTATTTTGGGAGGTATAAGCATAAAAAGAAATTAAAAAAGAAAAATCAACAGTTTTAAGATGTTGGTTCTACCTTTCTAAAATTCTGCCAACTAGGTGAAATTGGTGAAATGTTGGGTTTTGAAACTAAAGATACATCTGCTAGAACCGATCGGTCAAGCTTCCAGGGAGCCTTTACATCTTTAACCGGGCACTGGTCCTTGCGCTCTACATTTTCAGCAACCAATTTATTCCGCTTTTGTAACTCCTGCTTTTCTGAGCACGGTACCTTCAAAGCACAGGCAATGCTTTTGCTTAATGGCATTCCAGTTCCAGGTTCTTTGGTACATTCCAGGGATGATATCTGTGAAACAAAGTCACACGAGAATATAAAGCATTCAAATGAGGAAGAAAAAGAAAAAAGTTGAAAAAAATATACGTATACATAGCATTATTTATTCCATGCTGCCCTCTGAATTTTATACAAATAAATCTAGCATCTTTTGATTTCAGCAAAGTGTTGTTATCATTAACAACAATCAAGTGACTTTAATAAGAAGATTACTAAGATCATTTGGGGAGAATAAGGTGTAATAAAAAATCAACCAAAATTCACACCCAATTGCACGCTAAGCACTAAGCAGAGTCAAGTAGTTTTGACTCAAACTCATGAGGACATGGACTGAAATTCTGTAAATGAAATTAGGCACAGAAGAAACTCCGTAAAATTGTGCATCTTCAGCTACTTCTTAAACCAAAACGAGAAATTTTTAAAACACAAACGGTCGTTTGTCTACAGCCACTACTTGGAGCTACAAACAAGTAGACCAAACAATTAAAACCAAGAAGAGTGACATTCCAGAGCTAGTGTAAAGATATATGAAGTTGAAGAAATATAAGAAGCACCTGATCTGATGCAGAGAACAAATTAGCCAAAGCATGGAGCTGGTTGTTGCTGACATTAAAGTGCTGGAGAAAGATTTTAGCTTTCTTTTCAAAAGAATCTGGAGTTTTCTTATTCCTCCACAAAGCCCCAGTTTCAAGCCTTGAGAGAAACCAAATGCTGAGAATAGTAACAAAACCTAGAAGTAAGAGAAAGAGAAGATTTTTCCCCCATCGTTTGACACAATTAAGCCCATGAAAAGCCTCCTTCGTCTTCTTCAGCTTGGAACTAGCTGGCACTACGCCATTAGAGCCACCAAATTTACAAGTCATAGACATCATCAAGAAAATCCACCTCACGAAAAGCCCTGAGAGCTTGACAAAAACCCCAGCTCCAGCATAACAACTCATGAAAACAAAACCCTCCTATCACAGCCCCAAGATGACAATTCAACTAAATAAATTAAATTTTGCCAAAAGGCGAGCAATTCTTCACCAACCAGGCTTTACCAAACTCAAATGAAAAAAGGGAAAAAATTTCACTGCTTTATAAAAGAAAACGACTGGGAAAACAACAAACTAGAAAGCGAAAACTGCATGAAACACAGTTCATATCTCAACAAACAGCCAGCGTCTGAGTATGCACCATTCAAGAGAAAAAAAGAAACAATGTGGTCCAGCCTCTTTGGTCTCTTCACACTTTATGGATCAATACTAAGTTTCTTTCTCCCTACCCAACAGCTCTTTTGAAGCTCTCAAAAAGGACCCATAATGATGCCAAACCACAAGAAAGCAGAAGCTGAACCAAAACAAAACACAGTTGTGATACTGGCAACAACTTATTGACTATCAGGGAATCATTAATGAAGTAAGAAAAAAAATTGGTTCTTTCCTATAACTAGTATTACTTTAACTTTACTAAGTCTGTACAACTACAGTAGCATCAAGATAGAAACTTTTTGAAATGAAAACCCATCAAACTAATAACTTGAATCAAAACACAACTGGAATCAATGATCAGACTTGGACAAAAAGAGGTCTCCATATAAGTTTCTCTCTCTTGTCTTTTGAGTTTGGTGTACAGCTGCAGCATTTGAAATTGAGGTTTTTGGGTACATTATTGCCTCATCATCGAACCGGGTATGGCTTAAGCAAAAGGCAAAAGCAAACAAACCCCAAAATGAAGATCAGTCTAAAATAAATAATTTAACCCATTGGTTACTGTATTATTTTTAAATTAGAATTCCCTTTTGTTGTTCTGAATCACTTTTGCTTTTGAAAGAGACTGCACCATTCGGCGTTTAAAGACGGGGCTGCAGTGCAGGTATACGGACAGTGGAAACTAGAGAGACAAAACCTTCTTCTTTAAAGAGAAAAAGGGGCAAAAGTGGAATTAAGAAAAAAAGGCAGCAGTTGAGGTTGAGGAGAGTGTTTATATATAATTTTTGAATTAAAAAAAAGGCATATTTAAAATGAATAAATCGGGGAGATTTGGTAGTGGCTAACGTGAGCTTGGTGTTTAAGATTCGAGTATTGATGGCTCATGATGTGGGCATGAATGAAAATATATGTCGGCTTTATACCTTACCCACCAAACCATTTTTTATTTTAATTAATCCAAGATAGAGATATGAACCGTTGATCTAATTCATCATTACTTTGACCATTTTCATTTATTTAATCTATTCTCCCAGAATAATTAATTGAAGTTGAACAAATGTCATTCATATTTTTTGTTAAGAGTTAATTGAACAAAATGTTGAAGCATATGGATTTTACAGTTTTAAAAAAAAAAAATAAAAAAAAATAAAAAATTAGATAAAATAAAAATTAAAATAAAAAATCAAAAAAATAAAAAATATAAAAAATATAATATAAAATAAAAAAAAAAAAAAAAAACCAATAAAATTAATCATTAGTGGAACTAATTATTATTGTTTTCCTAGTAAAATAAACATGGAATGACATGACTGGTTAAAGAAATGTTCATATCAACATATAATTGGATTTTGATACAATAAATGTAAACTTATGCAACTTGAATTCTAACCGTTCAATTTGATAACATTTTATGTTTAATCATTGGTTAATTAAGTTGTCACTACCACCTAACAAAGAGCATAAATTGATGTGTATCTGTTGTTACCTAAAATTCGTTGCACACATTACACAAATTAAGGGTCAAGAAAATAATGAGTGGGTGATTGAAAACGTTTTGTCTAGGATACCTTAATATATATATATATATGCTTTTATCTTAATCCATTTTCCACCACTTTAATAATATCTAATTGGAAGCTTTAATTCTACTACTTGTAAGTACATGTGAGAAGTAGTGCCACATTATATCTATCATATGGTGGCCAGGGCAAGGCCATATTAGTTATTTACGGTTTAGGGTTCAATAATTACAAAATCCACCACTATCAACACATTTCTTTTTACCATTTTTTTCATGAAGGGAGATTGATAAGTTAATAAGCAAACCATATTATTATGTGGGCTATAACTAGTTTTTACAACTTGTTCATGAAATGGGGTAAGTGTATTTATGAGGAGCACTTGGTTTCTTTCTTCCCCACAAAATTCAGTAATTATTAGTACCCAAATACCTTTTTATTGGAGCAAGAGAAGAGGGACATGCTTATACTTGTGGAAAGGGTTACTTGAGAAGAATTATTAATACCTTCATGCTATACTCTCCTAAACTTCAAAATTTTCTTTCTTCCCCATTACCGTTAGCTGGTTATTATCCTTTGCAAAGACAAACACACCCTTCTCAGACTTCTGACTTCACTACATTAAAAAATCGGCCTAGGAAAAAATATTACTCGCGAATCGTGACATGGGACCCTACGACAGCTTTGATCTGACAAATCACGTTTCCCTATCTCACTTTAGCCGCGATTATAAAAAAGGCGCCAACCCACCAGATATCGACACGTCATAGACATGAGATGGGAGTTTCTGTTCGGTTATTATAACCGTATGGATGGTTCGTTGGTTGTGTTGGAATTACCAAAAAGTCCCTAAAGTTGATAAGTTTTGTGTCACAACCATCAGAAGAGAAGAGAGACTGAGATTGAATTTTATTATATTATGCCCCACAACGTTTCTGTTATTGTCGTTTTATATGTAGAAAAAGAAAACCCACTATTGTAACTTTTATTTTAGTAGCAATGCATATGGGTGAAGGCCCTTCGCCCCCAATTTGATTCTTTTTATGTAAAGCCATTTCTTTCGGCTTATACAAAGAAAGACGGAATATTATGTTAAAAAAAAAAAAAAATACAAAAATGAATTTGTGGATGATCATTGTGACTTCCCGAGCCATGTGATTAGTGGTAAGAGATAAAAGGAGATTAGATTCTGTTTTAGTAAAGGTTAAATTAGTTTAATGATTGTATCCATTTTTTATTTATTTAAATATCATTAAAAAAAGAATCCACTTTAATTAAGGATTAATAATTCACAGAATCTTCTAGCATTTCTGATGAAGATCAAATTCAACCCTATCTGCCTCTTCTCTTTATTATTCTATTCACACTCCATTTAAATTATGGGTGCCATCTAAATCTGATTGGTAATTTTAGGATATTGAAAGAATAGGTGATGTATATATAAATTGGTCTAAAGGCCCTGAACACCCCGATGATTTAAAAAAAAAAAAAAAAACATTTTTGTAATGTATTTAATTACAATGTTGCAATCTTATTTACATCCAACATGAATTTCTGAGCCTTTTACAAGAATGTCATATGAGAAGTCAAAAATTGAATGGTCCTAAAAGTACAAGAAGTAAAAGAAGAAGGGGCAAACAAAAGCATTACTTAGTACAAAGTTAAGTAAGAGGTGACAAATACCAAAAAGGAGAAAGAAATTTGCAATTAGGAAGCTGGGGGGTGTAGCTGTTGACCTAACCATCTTTCATACATCTAGTTTCTTTCTTCTTTAATGGTAGACAAGACTTGAGAGCACGTTTGTTTTATGCTATACACATTTCTTGCTTATATTATCATATATGGATCTTATTTATTATGCTTCAATAAAAAAAACTTTACATAAATGGTTCATAGCAATGACTATTTAGGGAATGTTTGTTATTGTAAAAGGAGGATTTCACTTCACCTATCAAAACTCAGTTTATTAAAAGATAAGATCTTATAATCTGCTATCCTGTCTACATCTATACGTTGTTTAGTAAAAATAATTTTGGTCTAAGATGAAAGTTTGAATCCTGAAATGGGATTTGGTCGCAATCTTTGTTGTCTTTGGAGGCAGATCAAAACGTTGAAGAAGAAACCAAAAGAAAAAGCTGTCATCTTCGTAACTTCGATGGTCCCAACTCAATTTTGTATTTACATGTAACAATACCCAGCGGCTTGGACCACATGCATTTATTTAACAGGGCATGGATAAATAACATGCGCACTCTTGTCGCTTAAAATAAAATCCATGGAAGAACCACCGTGCTATACCATAGTTGTTTAATTATTAATATATAGTATTTTGTGTCATGTTGTCGATAGGTTAGAACCCAACTTTAATTGCAATCAAAAGAGCCAATGAGGCGGTGCTCCACGACCACTTAGAACATCCTAACTTTATTTTTAACATAAATAAAAGCCTATTTTCATTAATTTTTAAATATAAAGAATTTAATTTATATTCAAATTCAATAGATTCTTTAAATTAGACTTAATAAATAAGAAAATAACTTAATATGAGAGATAATTAATAATAAAATGTATAAAAACTTATAATTTATTAAATAAAACAAAGAAAGTTAAACTCACTCTTTAATTTATATTTAAAAAATAAAAATCTTTTAAAATTTTGGTTTTATGGATAAACTCTTTATTATAAAGAGTTTGAGCCATATAAATGATCTTTTAAAGATGCTCTTACACTAGCGCTCAAAACTTATCTCATGACCTTCCTCATGCAGGACCTACTTATCACCTAAACCTTGTAAACAAAATGCATGTTGCAGAAAATTCTGATGCATCATCTGAATTGAAGTATTAGCTATTCTATAAATTCCGTAGCAAATATATTTTCACAAACATCAACTAAACAATAATAATATATTCCTCACTCCAAATGGCGCTTTCGTTTTTGATACTTTTTCCACTCCTTGCAATCTTAGAATCTCAATCTACTATCACAATGATCAAACAGACTGACTTGCAGGTGGCCATGGCTGACATGAGAGCGAAATCTTATCATGGGTTTGTCATCTTCCTCAAGATGCTTAATGGAACCTCCAACTCTATACATAGCACACGTACATATAACTTTCCTGATGCCAAATGATAACAAATTATCTGAATCTCCGCTTCGTTCAGATCTTCTCCATCAATTCATTCTTAGACACTCGATCCCTACACCATTAGTGTACAATAACATGCTACATTTTCCAAATGGAACTTTAGTACCTTCAAGCCTACCAGGCAGGATGCTGAGCATAACCAACAGCGGAAAATCAGGCATGTTTGTGAACAATGCAAAAATTGTCACTTCAAATGTATGTGTGAATTCTCTGGTCAAGTGCCATGGAATCAGCTCGGAAGTTGCATTCGACACTGATCTTTATCTTCCTTTAAACTTAGTCAACAATCTCAATGCAACAGAGTCCAGGGTTCCTCTGAAGAAAAATGCTCGTGCAAAATCTTCTCCATCTGCTCTTGCTCATCACCTGAAGAGGACCCATCCACGACGCTAATCTTCAACATTAAACTTATTCTACATAACTTCTGTAATGTCGACAATAAACTCATTCTCTCTGTCCAGTTAGGAAACTGCACTAATGAAGTACAATAATTAAGCAGCCCATTGTGCTGAAAAACGAGTTCTTTTTTTCCATTAGTCATGTGAAGATTAGTTTGCAGCATCGCAATGCACTAAACGATATGCATATAGCCATATGCTCGTCTAGTCATGACTTGTGCACAGGAAACATAAGCATGTTAACAACGTAAGAATCTGTTATTGCAAATTAGCGCAAATGATGTAAGAACAGAAAGCCACACAAAAGAGGAGATTCATCCAGTTAAATTACAAAGTACAAATGCACTTTCGAACATCTTTGTACACGACTACATAAAGAATCACTTAAAATTCCAGCCTTTACTGATTCCTCTTAACTTGTTAAAGACACCACAGAGTTCAGTTCAAATGAAGCTGGATAGCATCTCATTCACACCTGTTCATTAAAAAAAGTGATCCTAGTTCATAAACCTAATTAATTATATAACATAATACAAAGCATTCCTCAGTGAGTTTTTCTAAGAGGGTGAAGTTCATTAAGCTGGGCAACTGTCTTCGGAGGGGAGCCGTACCCTAGCACCTGCTCTTGGTTTTTGTAATTCATCACCTGTGAAGGGTCACCCCAGCACCGCTCTGTGAAGCACGTGAACTTTCCTGCAGCTTAATCTTCTCAAACAGATACTGCTTCTCAGCTTCCGCCTCACTCAACCGGAGTTTCAGATAACTGCTAGCATATTCTTCCTCAGATTTGTCTGACTTGGCAAGAGCAATCCTCTGGAGCCTGTCAGCCTCTCGCTTTGCCTCATTAGCTTTGAGTTGGAACATATCAGCCTCAGCCTGTTTAAGCCTCACAATCCTCTCCAGCTCCTCTATCTGTAGCTTCTTCTTTTGTCTATCTAGCTTCAGTTCAGTCACTTCCCTGGCCTTGTCCTCCAGCTCCTTGTCACAGGCGTCGAGAGCCATGCGAGCTTTCTTAAACATCCTCATCTTCTCATCAGCCACCATTTCCATCTTTCTTATAGCCTCCTGTACCACTTCTGCAATTCGGTTGCATGCCTCTTGTGGAGCAATCAACCTCCCACTTTCTCCATTTTCCAGGCTCTTTGGAGAGTCAACCTCGAGCTCTTTATAAACGATGTACATGAACAAAAACAGAATTACAAGAGAACAAAAAAGATATATATTGTTTTTATGATAGGGCAACACATTCTTCCAAAAATAAAAAGAAGATTCTACAGTCTATTTCCAAGCATGTGTAAAGAATGAAGCATGTTGCAACCAACTTATATAGAAGATAATATAAGATCACATTCAAACCAATCTATCCCTCTGTTCCCACTGAAACAACAAAAATTAAGCCTAAAAGGAAGAGAAGAAGATTTAAGCTAGTGCATGCACACATCCACAAGATGGAACCACTTGTGGAGTGAAAATTCCCATCACAATTATCACTGACACTTCAACGATATAATAACAAATGATTTTTCGGCCATATCCTTTTTAATTTCAAGTTTTCAGCTGTATGATTGAAAAGTTCAATTTAACCGAAATCAGATCACTTATTCTGTTGACATATGAAATGCTCAGCTAATAGGAAAAAATGATTAGAATGCTTAGTACAGTTTGTACCTTGGAAAAACATCAATATTGCTCTGCAAGCTGTAGATTCCCCAACTCCACCCTTCATTTTTTCAATAAGTTCCTCACATTTCCAAAAGAGCTTCCTCCCTCTATGATCTTCACTTCCACGGAAGATCCGACTAACAAAATCAAGCTCCCTCATTAGAGCCTCCCTGTCCCAGGCGGGGGCACAATGTTGAAATACATCTTTTACCCAGCCCAGTAGCTCGGATGTACGGTTGCAAGCCCGGCACCTGAAAAGCATCTCAGTGGGAGCTGCTCCACTCTTAACAGAAGGACCCATACATATTTGCCCATCACGAATGGCACAATCCGTGTGAGTCCAATGAGAACACAAATCACAACCAATCCAACGACAGGTATTCACTTCAAAGTCAAACTTGTTACAGATCACACACATGCAGAGATTGCAGAAACCATTCCTGTTGGTGCATGTTTCACAGGTACAATCCTCAGCTGGAAGCTGGTTTTGACATGCTATATTTCTGCATCTCTTGTACACAAAGACCTCAATGAGGGAAGTTTGAGATAGACTAATATTTGGATGCAGAAATGCCTGAATTCCAGTATTTATTGCAACAAGGATTTCCAGCTGTACACGGTGGGCTCTTATCAATGTCTTAGCGGTTAAATCTGTTCTACTCTGAACAAGTCTTTGTAGAGTCAAAAATTCTTCTCTATGCTGTGAACCTCCATTTCCTTCAAGAATAGCCCTGAGCCCATTCTTTAGCTCTTCCAAAAACTCATCAGGTAGTTGATGCATCTTTTCAGAGATTGCATCAACTCTTTCTCTTGCAACCTCCCGAAGAGAAATTTTATCTGCACTTGAAACACGACGGATTACGGATTGTTCAGGGCAATCGATCTCTACCTTCCCGTTCTCCATCTTCTTTGCCATGAGTACATCAGCAGTAGGCCAAGTTTCTCGTGAGCTGGCACTCTCAGTTGGCGACCCACGAACATTGTCCGAGTTTGATCTGGGTTCTTGCCCATCAGGGGACAACATGGGATCTGAAGTCACAAGTGATAGAGACGTTTGTAGACCTCCAGATCGTGGTTGCTGTCTTGGAGGTAGCATCTTGGATGAAGATTGGTGGTGTATATTTGAACCAGATGATGTACCCATCAAACAACCTCTCCTACACTCTACACATGTTTCAAAAATAAGCTCTACTTATTACCACCCCACAACTCAATAATGCACAAACAACCCTAACATTACATTGCAAGAGGAAACTAACCAGATTTGTGCAAACAAAAACATAAACATCAATTAAACAGTTTATTGTTGGGGAAAATATTAAAGTTAAAAATAAAGTTCTAAGCATGAAGTAATTGTCGTTTACACACTATAAGAAAAGCATACTGGCCTTCACAGTTTAAATTATGCAGACCGGTTGGTATGAGCAGAATATTTCTCATTCTTTTTTTTTATTTTTTCAAAACAGAATTCAGTTCTGGAAAGTTCCCAATCATCTTAACAAATAACTACTTCATCCCAAAACCATAATTTCTTTAATTTCTGTGATAACAACATCTGCAAAACCTATTTTTTATTCTTATCCTAAAGAGAGAAAAAAGAAAGTTATTAAAAAATTAACCTCTTAGGGATAAAAGAGATTTTTTTACGCACTGTAACATATATTATAATTTTTTTTCTTCAATGAATATAAAGAGATAAAATAAAACCAGATCAAACAAAAACTATCTCAGAAGATTAATTAAAAGTAGAGATTTTGAACTAAAAAAACCATTTTAAATTACATGAATTAGAAGTTTAGAACTTAGAAAAGCAACGGAGAGATCAGAAATACAAAAACATGTATACTAACTAAATGATATTCAATGAACTGTTATTAAATCTCAAATATTTCATCGGTTACTCGTCGAAACGCAGATTAATGAGAGATCTGGTCAAAAGACCAGTCAAAATTGCCCTTGACTTACTTCCCCGGAACCATACAGTAGAAATAAAAAAATAAATGAACGGATCAACGAGGAGAGCAGAGTACTTACCAGAGAGGAGAAGCAAAAACTCAGCTGGAACGACTCGATCAGAGTTGATAGAAAAGAGAAAGAAGTATTGAAAAGCGGAGATTGTGAAGATTTTGCCCTAGCAAACAGAGGGAAAGAGCATCGTTTCACCGGAGAAAATCTAGCATAGAAAAGTCAACATGAGTCGACAAATATGTTAGAACACGGCCGTATTTTCTTTAAAAACATTTTCAACGCTGAGATGACTGGCTGAACCGGTAGTATTCTCGAGGGTTGACCGGTTTGGCACGTTGCGTTTGTTTTATTGCGTGGTGATCTGTCCGGACTTTATTGTTGGGGTCAGTCAAAACGCGTGCCATAAGACTGTTTAACGGTAGCTATCCATGACAATGGTGGGAGCATTTATATCATCCAATTATTTTTTTATTATACAAAGTTTATTAATAAAAGTAAAAGACTAACATAACCTTTATTTCTTTAAATATAAATGAAAGTGTGAGCTTAATTCTTAAAGAGTCAAATATCTCTCTTAAAATTTAAAAAATTTATTAGATTTAAATAAAAAATTTATTTTTTATATTTAAAAATCAATAAAAATATTTTTTATTTATATAAAAAATACTTTTTAAAATAAAAAACACAGTTAAAAATACTCTTAATAGTAACTATCTCATAATCAATGTGTACAAGAATGTTCAAGGTAAATCTGATGTATTATTTAACAAATCTTAAATTCTATTAATAAAAGTAATAAGTTCTTATCTACTTATAATTTTAAAATCTCTAAAATTAGTTAAAATATCCATAAATTGATTCGATTACTCCTCATTATTTAAAAAACGAAGAGAATTTTAATGGCAATAATTATTTAACTGCTTTCCTATTTCAGTGTTTCAAGAGGATTAACTTTATCTGTGATTAATAATTAATTATTCTATAAAAATTATACAATTTATTAATTAAATGTATGATTATAATTAAATATTATTAATCGATTCAATAACATTGCTCAACCATTAAAACGATATATAATATAACATACTTGAGCTAAATATCATTATGTAATAAAGAAATAGTGGTGGTGACAGGCTGATAACCTTCTATTTTGATGTCACTTCTCCACAACTTACGAAATAACAACCAGAAAAGCCCAGACATATTCTTAAGAAAGTCAGGCCAAATAAAGAGTTGTGGCTACGAAACCATTCAATAGACACTACTACGTTCTTTCTCAATGAATTTTTCAACTAAACCCTAATTCTCTTCACTCAATTTTTCTACGCGTATAGGAACAATAACATGCGGAAGACAAAGACATGCTGTGCTCCTCATTTCCGACCACCAACTTCAAATGGCTCAACCACCTCTGCTTCTAAAGTTTCTGGGGTCCGTGGTTGGGCTGCTGACTGCTGAACTTCAGGAGTTGAAACTGACCACTTGCCTGAAAGAGCCATGCCCAACATCTCGTATATCTTGCCACCAAGCTGTGCTGGATTTTCAGGCTGCATGAATCAAGAGTTTACATTATAGAAGATCATTAGACAATCAGAAAAGCGAAGTAACATATTATTACGTAATGACAAAGGCTCCAGTCTTTCAAATCTAATTTCTATATCCGTGGACATTTGAAGTCCAAAAGTATTATGAAGCAGTATATTATAGATTGGAACAATTTTCTTGCCAGCAATACAAAGAAAAAAGAGGAGGAAGAAGATCGTAGAAAGTGTACTCACAGTAAACCCACTAGAAACTAGAGCTGCATCATACAGAAGATCTACAGCCCTCAGTGCATCATTGTCATCAGGGTTGCTTCGGCATGCAGCCTGCAAGTTTGGTGTAAAAAATCACGTTATGCACCATTAATTTCAAAGAATAGTAAACAGTTGGCAAGCTGATTCTTGTTAACCATACATTCAAGTTTTGAATAATAGGATGTTCAGGATTAATTTCAAACACCCTTCTTCCCCTCATGAACTCCAGGCTGGAGGTATTACCAACTTGTTGTGCCTTCATTAACCTACAGGAAAATGAATTGCATAAGCAAGTTCAAAAGAGAAAAAATTGCCTCATCATTTTACCTGCACAAATAACTAAAGGCACTTTACCTCTCCATGTTAGCCGACCAACCAAACTTTCCAGACACCAGTACACAGGGTGACAAGCTCAGACGATTTGAGATTTGAACACTGGCAACATTGTCACCCAAACGCTTCTTAATCCAATCACAAGTTTGCCTAAACTCCTCTTTCATCACCTTTTCTTTCTCCTCATTTTTATCACCTGCAAAATTAAATTAGTTGATGAATCTCACAATGCCATATTCAGTAACAAGACATGAAAAGAAATGATTAAAAAAAAAAAAAACATCATATACTTAAAATTTATAGACATCAACAAGCTGTTATCATCCCAACAACCACCCAATAGTCAGATTACTGAGCTGGCAAATGGTGACAAAGCTCAACAAATTTCTCCAGAAAATAAATAGAACCAGAATAATGGTTGTTACCTTTAACATCCTCCAACAGTAGAATACAATATTATAAAGATTGATAATGTTCCAATAGACTAACCTAAATCCAAATCCTCCTTGCTAATGTCAACAAAATCCTTCTCCTTGTAAGATTTCAGGTTCTGGATGGCAACCTCATCAATGGGATCAACCAAATACAACACCTAACAAAATTGACAAGGAAAAGGCATCGTTCAGAACAATAAAATGAATTCAATAAGATTTCAATGTCTCAAGGACAAGCACATACTTCAAGATCCTTCTCCAGAAGTTTCTCAAGGAAAGGTGTGTTTTTAGCACTGGTGACACTCTCAGCAGCAACATAATAGATATTTTTCTGCTCTGGTTTCATATTTTCAACGTATTCATCCAAGCTAATCATCTCATCCTCACTTTGGGATGAGAAAAATCGAAGCAATGGTGCAAGACGCTTGTGATTTTCACGGTCTTCTATGCAACCCAACTTCAAATGTTTGCCAAAGTTCTCCCAGAATTTCTCATAATCCTGCAAGAACAGGCTAAGATGAGATTGTAAAACAAAGAAGAATACAATCCTCCACTGGAAATAAATTTGTCTGCACTATGAAAGATGAAGGGTTAGCTTCAGCTGTCAAATTAAAGTAGTATCAGAAACATACCTCTCTGTTCTCACTCATGGATATTCCCAGAATCATGTCAAATGCCTTCCGGACCAGCCGTTTCCTCATAATGCGTACCTTCAGCAACAGCAAAACAGAGATGTTAGAAAATAACCAATTTGTTCTCTTCTTTCTCAAAATTATTGAGGGGAAAAAAGTTGAGTGCACATACAATTCGACTCTCCTGAAGAATCTCCCGTGAAACATTGAGGGGAAGGTCATTTGAGTCCACCACACCCTTGACAAAGCTTAGATATCGAGGGAACTATTCAAAACAAGTAACACAAGCACAAGTAAGACCATAATCAAAACTCATTCATACAATGCATTCACCTCCCAGCAATGAAAATATATTCAAACAATCTTCTTACCAATTCTCCATCAAAATCATCTGAAATAAACACCCTTTTCACATAGAGTCTTATATTTTTAGTCTTGGGATTGACAAAGTCATCCTTCCCCATGGGAGTAACAGCTGGAACATAGAGAATGGATCTGAACTCCACCTCACCCTACATAATCAACCTTCATTAGATGAGGCAACAAATATAATGCAGGGGTCATAATGTAAGAGCATTAGTTTAATATGGTACTTATCTAAAATAAAATAGGTTGCTCTAATCTCTAAAATTAAGAGAACAGATAAGTGTTATCCACTCTTTGTACCACAGGTACAATGAAGCAGCGGTGATTCAAATCTAAAATAGTTGCCACTCAAGCTCAGAAGCAAATATCAAGATACTACAGAAATTGGTCAGAATCAAAGGACCAAAAACACACAAAGTTCACTAAAAGAAACTTAACATATATGTGTAAACACTGTTATTACCTCTGTTGTGAAATGTGAAGATGCCAATGGATCCAAATATTCATTGAAGGTTTTCTTGTAAAACTCATTGTATTCTTCAGTGGTGACTTCCTTTGGGTTGCGGAGCTGCACATATCAACAAAATGATGGAAATATAATCAAACAAAGGCATTACAATTTCATTTTGCACATCCAAATAAAGAAAACTTAAAACTCACCCATATAGGTTGAGTCTCATTAGTGAGCTCCCAGTCCCAGTATTTCTCAACAACAGTCTTGGTTTTTTTCTTCTTCTGGTAAAAGAGCCATAAATCAATCATACACAATTTGCATTATCAAAGTTGAGTTCCATGCTAACGGGAAGATAGAAAATTGAAAAAAGAACAAATGATGAAATTCCTACCTCTGTTGTCTCTTCTTGTTTATCCTTATTGGCTTCAGCTGGATCCTCGTCAACCTCAACCTGTAAAGATGAAAAGATGAAACAGATATCATTCCAATTCCAGTGGTTATTTGATTTCTTTACTCCCAGAAAGGGCAAATAAAAATCTGTATAACCATACCTCTTTGGTGTATCCCTTTTCCTGCCAGGTGTATATTGGGAAAGAGACAAACTGAGAGTAGTTTTTCACAAGCCTTTGAATCCGCTCTGGATGTGCAAAACCTTTGTCATCAGGCTGAATGTTCGCAGAAAATTGGGAAAAAAGGGTGGTAAGCTTTCTAACTCGGTGAAAAAGATAAGTGGGAAACAAACAACTCAAGACACAGCAAGCTGTTTAACTGACCTTAAGATATAATGTCAGGCGTGTTCCTCTCGGAATACTCTTCTCTGGATCTGTTTCCTCTCGAATTGTAAAAGAGCTAGCATTGGCCTCTCCTTCCCAAACATATTGTTTATCAGATTTTGGGCTTTTGGTCGAGACAACAACCTTCCAATATCAAAAGCCACATAACTATCAGGTGGTACAGGGACTTCTAGATTTATTTGCCAACAGAATGAACATAAAGTTTAAAGCTTTAGGTCAGAATCATACCCGGTCAGCAACCAAGAATGCAGAGTAAAATCCCACACCAAATTGACCAATTAAATTGCTGTCCCCCCCAGCATCTTTGCTATCCTGTCAACCAATTTGGTTTTTCAGAATCCATCAACAACAATGATACAAGCACTTAATTACTCAATAATATACTAGTTTGCATCACTAGACCTTCATTGCTTTCAGGAACTTCGCAGTTCCACTTTGTGCGATAGTCCCTAAACAGTCAACAAGTTCTTGCCGAGTCATACCAATGCCAGAATCACTGCAGCACACATGGAAATTTGCTTTAACTTCACCAGTTTCTGAACGAAATATCATTAACAAAAATAGTTATTGGACACCATAAAGCTTACGTAATTGTTACAATGCCATTATCTTTATCGGTTTGGATGCGAATATCAAGATCAACAGCATCCTTCAAAAGCTCAGGCTCAGTAACAGCAAGAAACCGCAGTTTGTCCAAGGCATCACTCGCATTGCTGTGGACAAAAAATAGTAAGTTTTATAATTCAAATGTTGGCAGGAAACTTGATGAAAAATAGAAAATTGTATAAATACGAAGAAATCAGTGTCAATAGCAAAATACACAATCAGCAAAGGAGCTTTCTACTACAGCATTTTACAAAAAAGATAGACAGAAACATACCTAACAAGCTCGCGCAGGAATACTTCTTTGTTACTGTACAAGCTATTAACAATAAGGTCCATGAGTCGACTAACCTGCCACACAAGTATGATACGTTAGCAAACTCTAAAACCCATCAAACACTGAAATTAAAACACAATTAACCTTGTAGAAAAAGCAGCGTACCTCTGCTTGATACTCATATTTCTCAGGTGGAGGTGAGGTAGATGTGTCAGATGCTGTCGCAGTTGACTCATACCGGTTACCCAAAAACAAACCATTCTTTTTCAAGTTTAATTCATTCGAAGAACGGACAGTACTACATTGCCCAGCTGTTAAGACTGAATACCATCTGAGTTTGGTATCGCTCTCTACTACCTGCCAAGAATAAAGAAAATATCCATAACATGCCACACTAACAAAAACCATAAGCTCTCAAAGACAAAACAATAAACCTGATATTAAATTACTCCATAAAATATATGCCTTCGAATAAAAAAGTAGGTTTTTTGTTCATGTACATATTTTCAAATCACAAACTCAACAAATCAAATTAAAAAGTCGCTTTAAATGCAGAAACTGAAGTTGGAGTTAAAGTGTGATTTTGAAATGAGAGTACCGAGTCGCCGGAGCGAGTGGCGCCGGTGATAGGTGCAGCGGTTGCACTTCGGAGGTAGCGTGAGCTTCCGTGGCGCAGGATAGTTGAAGCCGAACGCCTGCTGAGCTTGTGCATGATCGCGAAAGTTCGAGAGAGAGAGAGAGTAAACCTATGAGTTTAGTGGTGTGAGTGACTCTGTGAGCCGTGCTTGAGCGAGTCGAACGGGTGGAATGTTTATAAAGGGGGTTGCGTAGGGTTTTAGATTGGTTGGGGTTTTGAGAAGCTTCTGGAGATGAGATGGCGCTGTTTTCATATTTTTGGAAAAATGATCAGATTTGGGGTATTTCCGTCAATTCGAAAGAATTCAAAGAAGCAATAATCTAGTACGTGAGGTCGCAGGTTTTTGTTTGACTTTTGTCTAGTCAGTGCGAAATCTTTGCCAATCATTTTTCGCCATGTCAGGTTTATACCAAGGTTATGATAAAGACCATAAAATTGTTCTACCTTATCAGTTTCCTGTGAAAGAGAAAATGATAATTTATAATGTAATTATGTTGATGGTTGAAATTGATAAAAATAAATAAATTCTTCATTTATCTTAAATGGTAATGCATATATATTAGATGTCTTTAATATTTAGGAATTATTATATAAAAATAATAATTTAAAACTGAAATTATATGACAAGATGTGGATGTCCTTCACCTTTTTTCAAAATGAATAAATATAATTCAAATTCAATTGAATGAGATATTCTTCCACTTTTAATCAACTCTCAGGTCTCAATCTGTTCATGTGACAAATATATTGATCCAAAAATTTCTCACCAAACGCCCCAATATTTCGTACGATTAAAAATAAATTATCTATCATTTCATCAAAAGCATTTGCCATTAGCATTAAATCCAAACTAAATCATCAACAAAAATGATTTTGCAAAATTTCCAGAGATCCCTTCTATCAAACATTGTAGCATTGAATTAGAAAATCGACTCATAATTAATTTGTATATGTTGTTACGAATTCTCGCAACAACCCCAGATATCCGATTGCGTGAATCGGATATCTCGGGTTGTTGTGAGAATTCGTGACAACATTTTGACGTTATAAGCAAGATCTATGCCACTCCCAAGCCCCTCATCCCTTGGGGGCTGTGTTGATGTCAAAGTCTCACATTGATTCAGAGACAAAAGTCTTGGTTGTTTATATAGTATAAGGACACTCTCACCACCCGTATACGCCTTTTTAGGACAAAATTGTGCACGTCTCAAGGCCCAAGGCATCTATCATATGTCTGGATCCGACATGCATCAAGAGTATATATAATAAGTATGTATAATACTGGTTGGAAATATCCCAACTGGAGTATCAATTGCCTCCATAATTTGAAAAATAAATCATCAAAAAGAATGTATGATAGAAGCAAAAGCACCATCATTGTAGACCACAAGCATCGCACACCCATCACAGAAACAACACAACACTAACTTACAATTCAAGAACAGCCCACCCGGCAAACACACTAAACTACAAACAAGTTCAACAATCTATAGCAACAACATTCCATGGATTTTATTCTTTGTACAATAGCTGCAACCCAACATCAACATTCTTCTTTTATACCAACTATAGGATCTTCTTTCAGGATGGTTCAAATTGGAAATTGTAATTGATTTTAGTTAATTTGTAGCTCGACATCCTGGTAGTGATCCAGGTCACTAAGGTCTTCTAGTGTGATTGATGGATATTAATAAGCGACTGATTATGATGAATAAATGGAGACGATCAGATGAATTTAAACATAAGTAAATATAAGAGGATGAACAACTGTTCAGTCAAAAACCAGAAACAGCCTCAGCTATTGCCATGCACATCAGATTGTCTATTGAACATGAAAACGATGAATACATCGATAATAAACATTAGTTATATATAACTCATTCATTCTTACAGCCACAAAAAAAGGAAGAAGAAGATGACATAAAGAGTCTAAAGTAATATTTTTCTACAGATGAAGGGAAGTATCAACATCAGAATTGTCAAAATTTCTTGAGGTGCTTGGACTGGTTGAACTCATAGGCCATAAGTTTGAGGAGGATGGGAATGTTATGGCTGGAAAATCAGGGCGCTTTCCTGAAGAGTTAAGTTCTAGAGAGAGTGAATCCTGTAGAGGTGGGATCATCGTCTCTGGCTGGAGAGACTTGTTGCGGTCATAACGCGTTGATGGAGCTATAGGATCAGACTCAGCAAACAGTTTTAACAGCTCTTTCTCTTCTCTCTTCTCTCTCACTCTTTCAAGCTGTCTAAATCTTTCTTGCAGAAGGGCGATGGAGGAGCTGACCATAGTTGAATCACCATTCTGCCTACCCATTTAAGGAGAATTTAATATTGGAGAGGTTTGAGCTATTCTTGTTATTTGAAGGGCTACATGAGCGTGTATATATAGTAGGTAGTTGTTCCCTATTGAACATTAGAAAATGCATATTTTAATTGATTCGGGGTGATGTAATTATAATTGAGAATCGGCTGCTGCGCAGGATTATACAAGAAGAAGAGTTTGAAAGCTAGTCTAGAGAGGGTTGGGTTGGTGGATGTGTAGGTAAAAGGACTTTTTGAAGGAGGATAAGTCTGAGGTAAAGAGTCCAAATGAAATTGGAGACTAGCTTTTGGAAGAATGCTTTGAAGCGAATCAACTGGTTAGGTAATGCAATGTCGGTTTCGTAGAATGTGGTGCATTTTTATGATGTGTTTTCAGAGGATATTATTTCTTTTATATGATTTCAACTCAATTGTTCTATTCTTTTCCCGTAAGTGGAGTTTAGGGAGGTGGGTGTTAAGAACTAGACAAGGATTATAAGGAATAATTTTTGGAGTTTTATGGTTCTAAGTAGAATTTCTCATGGATGAAATAGAAGGGAAAACCCACCAAATATGACCTCTTTGCCACTGTAACTATATAGTCTTTCACATTAGGGTCGAGCCTAACGGGTCCAGAGAGCCTGAACCATCAGGATTTATTCAACAACGTTGAACATTGAAAGAGCTTGGGCGATTTACAACAATATGATGATCATGTGTAATAGCACTTTCTAGACACTAGATCTCATTAAAAAATAAGATAAGAGCAAGTGTTAGTTATTGCTTTTGTTAGTCATATAATTGAGCAAGCGTGAAAAGAAACCAGTAGTCTGTTAGGATTATTAAACTGTTAGTGTGAAAGATGTTAAAATTTATTGTAATGTAAACAATGATAAGCAGACAACTGGTAATGCCAGGTCAACTACAATGATCCAAGAAAAATCCTATATTCTGCTTCCAATGCATATAAAAAATCAGAACAAGTCAAGGCAAACTCTTGCCATGCTGTGCTATGTTGTATTGTTGCTGATGTTCTCACTTGCTATTCAACAGCAAATACCAAACCCCATTACGCATTTTAATCAAACCCATCCAACTGCTGCAAATGCTAAAAGCCTTTGGGCAATTTAAAGTCACAGCTCAATGGTTGGCTCCGTTCTAAATATTACTTTTTCAAATTTCTCTCTTTGCAGGGCAAACATAGGATCAATTCAAGACATGCACACCAAATAGCTGAGTATTCATTCTACTTGGTTCTGTAATAAGCTTCAGTTATACATAGATTCATATTCAGCTTCAGTAACGCGTTGAGAAATAAAAACTTGGCCGTAGTTATTATATCAATGCTATTGTTTGCTGAAAACTAACGTTTCCATAGCCTTTAGGAAGAGCATGAGAGTGAAGATCTAGTCAGATTCATGCTTTTAGATAAAATTGTATCTACCAGCCGTTATATGAAAGATTTTCTCTGTGTTGTTTTAAATTGCAACCTGCAAACAATCTTAAGGAAAAAAACATAACCTAATCGAATAACATGAGTTCTCTGCATGGTTCTACCAAAGTGCATGATCTGAGAGCTAAAGCAATATTACCGTTTTGCTAATGACAGTCTCAACCAGAAGAAATAGTAAACAAAAAATAACCTTTTGTAAGTTGTTCACAACATGGCTACAGATGCAGTTTTCAGAACCAATCAGTAGATCCGCAACAAATTATAATAGAAAAAATTTGTATATTTTATTAATTATTATTGTTGGAAAAAAGAATTTAAAAAAAGAATGAATTTCTATGAGGTATACAAACACAAAATATGATTTATTTTGGTGTCATATTGTGTGTACCTTAATATCCTTCTATAACTGTCCTAAGAAAAACTGAGAGATACCCTTGGCTACATCAATACGTATCCTGCATAAAACAGAGTCAAGTATGTCAAATCCTCATTCCTATATGATTTAAACGTTTCTAAACCGATAGTGTTAGTGCTGAGCCAGTGTATGTGGAAAAAGATGCAAAAGATTGTAGTGCCCTACCATGATTTATATATTATAGCCCTAAAATTATTAACTAATGCTACAAGAAATTCCAAATTATTTGAAAACTTCAATAATCAGACTATTCTAGAATCCCATAATATGCTTCCTTTTGCATAGACCAAGGCTGCTTTTGGTACCCTATTCTAACACTATCCTATCCTAAAAAATGAAAAATGTGTTTGTTTTAATATTCTTCAAAATTCAATTCAATTCAACTCAAAACATTAACAATTACCTTTCTCAACAAAAATTTTAAAATTAACAAGAACACTCCCACCCACCCAAGTCACTATCACCCACCAGCAACCACCGTCGCCGCTAGCCGCTGCTGCTGCCACTGCCACTGCCAGTCGTCGGTGCCGGAACGATGCACGACCGATTGGATCTGGCCTATCGTGTGTCAATCTTACATTTTTCAACCAAATCCACCGTGGATTTGGCCGTTGACGACGACCATGTCTTGGTCATCGTTGACGGCCAAACAACGGCCAGAAATCTGGCTATGAACGACGGCCAAACAACAACAGCCAGATTTCTAGATGTCATTTGGCTGCCGTCAACGGCCAGATCATTGGCCATAGATCTAATCGGAAAATGCTAGATCACCGACTATGCATCATTCCGACGACTTCCAGCCACCGTCCGACAGTGGTGGCCGACTGTCAGCAATAGTTGGGTGGGTGAGGGTGTTTTTGTTAATTTATAAATTTTTATTGTAGGGGGTGTTTAGTTAAATTAACAAATTTAGGAGGTTAAGATAAGTTAAATATTTTCCAAAAAGGTACTAAACACATTCTCAGAATCCTATCCTATTTGATTAAATGCTATTCAGAATAGAATAGTATTCTAAAAACATAAACAAACGAAGCCTAAATATATTTTCAAAAAATAAAAAGGTTCAGCTACAGGTTATATTCATATCTACCCCAAAATTCACATCCCCAAGCTTTTCAATTTTTTTACCTGAATATTATGGGCTTCAAGTTGTTCCTTAAAAGCTTCCCCATCCTCATGTCTTTATGTAACACCCCAATCTCAGATTTGGGAAAGACAAGCATAACATCTTCTGGAGCAATTTTGGAACAAAAAAGCCATGAGAAGTTGAGCTGATAAGGAATCATTGGGGAAACACAAAATTGAAGCAATATGATAATCCAAAAACAAAAGTAAATAACAAATGTTGACAGAGGGAGGATCATTACCAGTTCTGGATGATGGAGCAATAAAGTAATGACAGCTGCAAAACTTATTTACACCTTGCCAGCAGAAAATTTGACATCTTGGTCAGATTATATCTAAGGCGTACTTTACCGATACACCCTTCTTTGTCTGGGAAACAATACCATACTGAGTTTCCTGGTGATGATGAACAGAAGCTCTAATTAATCCGCTTAACAAGATGATCAGTTTCAATTGATTTGTCTACTTTGGACAATTCACGGGCCAATACTGCATATGTCTGTGAATTGATACTGCAATTTCTAGATTCCAAAATGTGCAGAAACTTCAGGCAGAGATCTGGCAGCCCTTCCTTTATTAACCCATCAACCAAGACTGTCCATACAATCTCATCAGTATTCCATTGTTTCTCAAGCATGCTCTCCAGAAGATTCTGTGCTTCTTTTGAGCGACTAGTCCTGCAGAGAGCAGAAATAAGTGCTGCATAAACTGATAAGCGAGGCTCCATGCCACTGATCGTCATCAAGTTAAAAATTTTCAAAGCAAGGTCTACTTCTAAATTTCTACAATGAGCAACTAATAGAGAGCAAAAGATCTCTTTGTTTGGACACAAGCCTTTCTCTTTCATAGTTTCCACCAACTGATCTGCCACATAAGATCTGCCTTCTCTACACAGGCCATGAACTAAAGTACTGTAAGTATCAATTGTTGGTTCACATCCATTCTCTGACAATCTAGATAAGAGAGTACAAATCGAGTCAAGATTAGTAACTTTCTCGTATGGGCTGCAACTATAAACAGCATCATTTTGGGCCACAACCTTTTCAGTGAGCAATCGGGATTCTTTATGCAGCCCCTTCAACAACACACCATACGTTCGGTAGTTCGGTTTGCACCCCATATCAACCATCTGCTGAAGAAGAAGGAATGCATGATCAAGCCTCCCAAGCATAACAAAACCATCAATTAGTGAGGTATAAGTGACATGATCAGGAGCCAATCCTTTACCCTGCATTTCTTCAAGTAATTTCTCTGCTTCATCAGGCTTGCCCTCTTGACATAAGCCATAAATAAGTGAAGTATACGTGTATACATTTGGAACACAGTTTCTCCTCTCCATTTCATCGAAAATCTTAAATGCAAGGCTGGATCCACCATTTCGACAAAGTCCATCAATCAAAGATGTATAGGTAATGACATTTGGCAGCAATCCTTTCTCTGCCATCTTACTACATAATTTCTCTGCCTCAGAAAGCTGGTTCCCTTTGGACAAACCATTTATAATGGCATTATAAGTTTCAATCTTTGGACAGCAATTGTTCTTCTCCATCCTCTCAAATAATGACAAGGCAACGTCAATCTCCCCCTTCTTACAGTAACCATCAATCAGAGCAGTATAATTTACATGATTCGGACTTAAACCCCGTTCCAACATTTCACAGAAGAGACCTGATGCCGTATCCAGCTTACCACCTTTGCAAAACCCTGAAATTAGTTCAGAATAAGTCCACTCATCTGGTTCACATCCACTCTCCTTCATCATGTCCTGTAATCTCATAGCATTGTTTAGATTCCCCTTTTTGAGGTATCCACCAATGAGAGTGTTATACGTAACCACAGTTGGAGAAGGACCAGCTTTTATCATTTTATTGAAAAGAACCATTGCCCTGTCCATGTCACCCAAAGAGCACATTCCTTTAATAATTTCATTATACGTATTGGTATTCAGCAACTTATGATGTCCCTCGATCCAATAAAAAATCTTCAGAGCATTGTCAAACCTTTGAGCCTCACACAATTCGTTTATTAATGCATTGTAGGTAACTGTATTAGGGACCAAACCATCCTTCACCATTTTGTGGTACAACCCGACTGCCACTTCAAGATTCTTCACTCGAGCCAATGCAGTAATCAATGCCGTATATGTTTGCACATTTGGATTACAACCCCTCTTTTTCATTCTCCTCAAAAGCTCAATTGCCTCACTCATGCGCCCAACCTCACACAATGAAGAAATTGGAACAGTGTAAGTATAGACAGTTGGTTCAATCCCCTTCTCAATCATTTCTTCGAGCATGTCAAGCCCCTCATCAATTCTGCCCTCATTGCACAATCCATTAATCAAATTTGTATATGTAACTGAATTAGGATAACAACCCTCCTTCACCATTCTATCAAACACCTCAAATGCTTTATCCAAATTATGATTCCTACAATGACCTAAAATCAGCGAAGTATATGTAAATGTGTCCGGGCACATATCATATTGAAATATCTTACTAAAAATCAACTCAGCTTCCTTAACCTTCCCTTTATTACAGAACATATTAATCATAGTATTAAATGTCAATAAACTAGGCCTAATCCCATTATTCAACATCTGGGTATACACATTTTGAGCTAACCCAACCATATGGAACTTGCTCAATTGAATCAAAAGAGTATTAAAACCATACAAAGTAAACCCGAAACCAGAATTTTCATTCAACTCATTCAAAAACTCAATTACCCTTTTAAGCTCCTCCTCATTCCTACACGCTTTAATCATCAGTATCCTCACATGGTCAGCAGGAGCTAAGTTTCGGTCACGAACAAGCCTATTCAACATGGAAATAAAACAGCTCATATCACGTTTGTAAAATGGCCTCTTTGAGACCCAATAAAAGAACTGCAAAACTGAGTCTGCGTTCTTGTGCGTGTCAATGATTTTGGAGACGTGGTAGGGTCTCAGCTTGGGAATCAAGTGAGTGAGTTCCGGGTTTTTTTTCCATTGAAGATCACATAAAATTTCGCAGACTCTAGTAACCAAGTGCGGGGATTTATCTCCGGTTGAATAAAAATTGGATTTTGATGCAAAGAAGAGAAGCAAATGGAATCTTTTCAGGTGAAACGAAGGTGGGTTTCTGAGAAGGGGCTTTAACATTGCTTATAGCGATGTTGTGAGTTCATGAGTTGTGGTCGTTTCCACTTTTGTATGATACAAGTAAAAAATGTGTTTCTATAGGTTCCAAGAGATCTAGAGGTTTAAGAAGGGAAATAAGTTGACTCGGTGAGTAGGTGAACGTGGTCATTGGTAAACCATAGCTCTGCAGAAGCAGAGGTAGGAGAAGCAGTGAAAGGGTAATGAGAAAGATGGTTCGTTAAGGTGCTGTTAAATCCCTAAACTGGCCTATTTTAGCGGCCAATTAAACTTTTCTTAACATTTATCAAAATACATTTATTCCGAATGTTAAAAACAATAATTCTAAATGTTATAATAATTTTTATTTTATTTTTAGTTTGAAGAATATTTTTAAATAGTAAAATTTTATTTATTATCGTTATCATTTTAATATGAATAATACTACACATATAATATTCTCATATAATATTTCTCATGTAATATTACGCGACAAAAGATAATTGGTTGAAAGTTTAATTTTAATTTAAAATCAACCAATCATATTTTGTTGCATAATATTATACGAGAAATGTTATACGTATAGTGTTACTTTTTTAACATATATTATTATCGCACAGGTTAAAAGAATATTAAAACTTTTTTCTTTCTAATTTTTGGTTTTAAATATTGAGTTGAAAAGTGATGGTTANGGTCACGGCGTCGGGCTTGGCATCGGTGCATATAGGTCTTTTTGGTGGTTCTTACTAAATAATTTATGAGAACAAAGGAAATTTTGCTAACCTTCTTGTCGATGTAATCACCCCAAAATCTAGCATGAGCTCGGAGGCAAGGATGAGAAGGCAGCAATGGAGATTTATGATTCCAAACCTCGTCTATGTACTCAACTATGACGAGAGATTCACAAATGGGTTTACCCTTATGAATCAAAACTGGGATTTGCTTGTTCACAGGATTCATTTTAAGAAGCAAAGGACTCTTGTTGCTCAAATCTTCTTCTCTTGATTCAAACTCAACTTCTTTCTCTGCCAAAGCTATCCTCACTCTCGTTGCAAAAGGACTATGCAACAAATCCAGTAAAACTACTTCACTTGCCATTGTTACACAAATCTAATAACATGATACTTATAGAACTGAATGAAATTAACTAGGGCAAAAACCAGTATTTATAGTCGAAGTTACTGATCATTATTCATTAAAGAATTTATCTTATAGTTCATCATTGCTTGCGTCACCTTCTCCTCAAAGTCACCATGGTTCTCTGTTAATTTCCTATAGGCCAAAAGACATTTTGAGCCCCAATCTATTTTGAAAAGATAATTTCTCCTCCTTTGTCTATCTCATTTTCTATTTGACTAGGTTTGACCAAGCAAAAATTTCAGTTATACCCTTATTTTCATTATCGAAAGAATACATATCTTTAAAATTTAGAATAAGTCTATCCTGTCACTTATAAACAAGCCTAACACTTCCCTGAAATTTATTAAAAAATCATAAAGATTAACATGCGAATTGACTTTGTATACCCTGTGTATTTATCTTTGTAAGACTAACACTTCCCTAAAATTTATTAAAAAATGAATATTTTAAGAATAGCTTCGCAAGGCTTTCGAATCCTTCTTGCGAAGCTCTCTAACATCAGTTGTCTCTACAAAACCATTCGCAACCAACTCCCAAAGTTCTTGTGCAATAAAAAAGGTCTTCATTTTAATACTCCAGAATTCATATTTCTTCTGTTAAATATTAGAATCAAGGATTGCGAGAGATTGAGAGTAATATTTTTTGACATAGTTGAAAAATCTTACACAGAACTTCTGTCGAACACCTTCTGTGTACTGGAAAACAGCTTCCAAAAAATTGCTCTGCTACAGCAAGCAACCTCCACAATTTCAATGCCCACTTCAATCGAGCATGGCACTAATACTACAATTGTTGGAAATTGACCTTCTATGTTGCAACTCACGCTCAAACATGATACTTTGCAAAGTAAACAAAATGGAGAATAAAACAAGATAAAAATATAAGAGAAGAAATTTGACACGGTACTTATATTGAATTGAAGTGAAAGACATTCTGACATACAACAAAGACCCAAGCTTGCTCTTAAAGAGGAAATAAAACTCCAAGGTCTGTTTGGCTTGGAAAATGCTTTATTTGGATTATTAGTGAGATAAATTACTTTAAAAGTTATGAAGAAATATTACATCAATATGTTTAGTTAGATTAGTGAATATAAATAATCAAATTGGTTAGAAAGAATAAAATATTATTGATAGAAGCTTTTACTGAATTACCTTATTATTAGCAATGTTTTAAAACCCGGCCTGGCCCGGTCGGTTCAATCGGGACCCGGAAGCTTTAACAGGCCGGGTTTAAGTTTTTCCTATTCACCCAATACCCTAGGATTTTTGGTGATGATCGGCGAACAATTAACTGTCGGAATGTTGGGGCTTTTGAAGAGCTATTTCCGGTGAATGTAATGGTGGTGAAAGATTTGATTTCCAGTGAGTAAATCAACCGGAAATCGAACAAAACTGGCAGCAGCAACGATGAGATTTTTTCGGCGATTTATGAGGCTAACGGGGGTGGGGTGAGGGGGGTTTTGGTCTGGAAGAAAAGGGGAGTAATTCTGGGGTGATGGGAAGGGTTGTTGTTGCCGGAATCGATGCGATCTGGCCTGGAATGCCGACGTCGATGTCGGTGAGATCTAGCCGAAATCGAACCTATTTCGGCTAGATTTTGGGTATATTTTGATGGAAATGGGCTCAAGGGACGATTGAGGTTGCATCTGGGGTGTCGCCGTCGCTAATCAGTCGCCGATCGATTTGCAGTTGGGGTGTGTTTGATAAATTTCAAACCTATAGGGCCTTATAGAACTTTTAAGGGCATATTTGCTGAATTTTAAAAGTTTTTATCAACTGGTTTGACTAGCGGTCAAACTTGTTAAACCGGTCAACCTGAGACCCAGAAGCTTTGCCGGGTTTCACCCCGGGTTGGGTTTTAAAACATTGATTATTAGTATTATTATTTAAATAAATTCCTTTTAACCTTTTATATTTGAGAATTTAGGTAAAATACCCAACAACAAAGTATAAATTTGAACAAAATACCCTCAGCCACTCAAGACTACGGTAGGCCGTGACTCACTACTGCCGGCCACCGGATGTCAGTCCCCGTAATGGTGCACGACTGATGGGATCTGGCCAGTCTTGCGTCAGTAAGGACTTTTCTGGCCATGGATCTAGCCAAATTTGGCGTTTCTATGGTCATTTCATGGCCAAAGATGTGGCCATGAAAAGGCAAAATCTTTCACGGCCACATCTTTGGCCTTGAATGGCTATAGATCTAGCTATTTTCCGGCCATGGATTTATGATCCATGGCCATTTTTGGCTTTGTTGACAAACGGTCGACCATATAGGGTCAGTCGTGCACCATTACGTGGACTATCGACGGTGGCTGGCTGCTAGCAGTGGCTTGGGGGGTGGGGGTGATTTTGCTACAAATTAAAGTTTTATATGATTGGGGTGTTTTAGCAAAATTTTAAATATAGGGGGTTAAAAATGATTTAAAAAATAATAATATTTAGTAATCTATATAACATACTCACCCATTTATCCTCCCAATCAAACATATTATTCATCAATTTATTCAAACCAACCAAATATATTTTCTAAACATTCCTTGTAATTTTCAAGGTAATCGTTTTTTCCTTTAATATAAAATACTCTTATAATAAAACATTATATAAACCAAACGCCCCCATAAACCATAACAACATGGGGATTTTTGTAATTTCCAAAACCTCAGGGAATTTTTAGATATAATACTAAGCGGGAATTAATGTCATTGACTCAAATCATGTCCCTTTAGTTAATTGCAAGCGCCCAATCAGACACAATTTCAGAAAAAAAAAAAAGGGTGAGTTAGTAGTTTAGTTATGCAGGCCCCTTAAATCACCATGGGTTGTGTAAGAATAATGTCAGTAAGTTGTACTGCTAAGTGAACCCCTTAAAAATCGACAAGGTGAGTTCAACGACTAATTATGAAATCAAGCGTTACATATTAGGTGAGGAGAATGTTGCAGTTATATAAACCAACCAAGAGGTGAGTCGAACCAACTAGTGGAGTGTCAAACGTCACATGACCAGGTGGCAATGAGTTGCATTGTAAGTAGCCCTTAAAAAATGACCAATGACAAGAATGTTGCTGATCCATGGATAGAAATAAGAAATAGTATCGGATGAGTTGTGCCCTAAGTGGAACTAAAACGACCACTGGGGAGTTTGACACAACCCTTTAAAACTGACAAAAGGATAAGTTGAAATGTCCAATAATAAATATGGAACGTGAAAAAGGTGCCACGTGATTAGATGTGGGAGAATGGGATGATCCCACATTAAATAAAAAAAATAATATTACGGACACCAAACAATTACACCAAAATTGTGTACCGACCTACGTGTATCAGTCACGTGAATTTTTCTTCAATTTTTTTCTAATGAACGACCGTCCAAAAAATTTAGACGGGCGTCCCCATTTAAAGGACGTCCGCCCCTGAATAAAATACAATAAAAATTTTTTTATAAACATTAGGGACGGCCGTTCATCCGTTATGGACGACCGTCCCTTCATTTTGGATGGGCGTTCGCAAATAAGGGACGTCCGTCCTTAACCAAAATATGAAAATAAAAAAAAATAAAAAAACTTTAGGGACGGCCGTCCATAAATTTTGGACGGCCGTCCCTTATGTTGGGACGGGCGTCCATTCCTAATGGACGCCCGTCCATACTTTTTAAAAAAAAAAAATCTAAAAATAACTCTTCTTCTTCGTCCATAGCTTTTGGTTTTTGATTCTGCACTGTATTTTATCGCTAACCCAGTAAGCTTTTCTTGTTTTGTCACTCTTTTCTTTGTTTACTTCAATCAACTGGGAATTTATATTTTCAGGTACAGCGACATTTGCAGCTAAGAATTGAAGCTCAAGGGAAGTACTTATAGTCCTTTTGGATCTGAGCTGCTAACTCTCCTTATGGGTTGATGTTGACAATGGCTTGATATAGAGGGGGGCTCTTTGCCGGCGAAGCCGTGGCCTAAGTAGCCATTTCAGCTGGAGGCAAAGGGAGCATTGGCTCCTACAGGGAAGCTTTAGACTTTTCTTTCTCTTTATTTTCCCTGCTTATCCTTTGCCTCTCCAGAAGCCTGTT